TGTTACGAGGTTTGCCGTCTAGATCACGTGGAAGTGCTCTAGGCTCTCGAGGTGGTTTATAACTAGGCGTCAAGCAGGGACTTAAAGTAATGACAATAATGCAATTCGTAACTAATAGTGGAGTATACTAAATGATTGATCTTGAGCACGAAGCTCTATACAAAGGAAATCCATCTTGATTATATAGTCCTTCATGCTTCTATGATTACTGGTGATCCTCCATGATCACCAGTGATCACCTATACCATGATCCTTAGTGATCACTACTGATCATTTGTGATCACGTGTCTTGGTAGTTGTGTAGCCCGTCGTAACAAGACTTTAGACTTTTCTTATAAATAGATATAAAAATTAATAAAAAAGATCAAATAATAAACTCAATGTTTCAAAGGATTTCGTTTGAAAAAGGGGGAGTCGGTTTGGAGGTTGGGTGAATAGATAGGATAGATATAATAGGTAGGTATATGCTCTGATATTAAAGTAGGAAATCGATCAAGATGTTTACCTACCTATTCAAGGAAGGAATCCAGGAACTAAAGAAATAAGCAAGTTATTTATCAATTACATAAAACCAAATCAATCAATCAATCAATCCACTCCATCCTTTTATCTATAGTGGTATTTTTACTCCGCTGTACTAGTACATCCATATCTTATATGACAAGTGTATGCTACGCGTACGAGAGTTAGCTTTGGGGGTCCCCGAGTCAAAACGCAGCTCCTACTACCGCTACTAGCAGATATTTGTAATATCAAAACAAACTCATCCGTCCGTCCTTCTTCATCAGAACACGAAATCTCGTAAGAACGCCAAAATAAAGTGCCGTGACTACATCCATTGAACTCCCCAAATGCCCTCCATCCCCCGGCCATGCAAGCAAGCAAGTAAACATTCGTCCTTCCTAGAAAGACGATTATTTTCATGCATATAAAAGAACAATTCTCATCTCCTCAACTTTCGTCTCAACTAAATCGGTCCTCGAATATTTACATGTTAGCCTGTGGTGCATTCATCCGTGGATGTTGCAATGTTGCCAAATTTTGCAATTCAACGAGTTGGCGCATAACTTCTGCAGTTTGTGCTTGCTGGGCCTGTGATTGTCTTTTTAGTTCATCATTTTCCGCCTTCATTTTTTTGATCTCTTCGCGGAGATTCTCAAGTTCACTTGTATCTCCCTTGCTATTTCCGCGTTTTCTCTTCATGCCTGTCATGACTGCTTGATTAGGATCTTCTTCAGCTTCCTCCATAGTAACCATGGTTAATTGCGACATTCCAGCATCTGCTGTATGCACGCGTCGTAAATGTTCGTTGAGATTTTCTTGACGGGAAAATCCTTTTCCAGTATGACGTTTACAGTTGGGATGAGGACAATTCAGTTGTTTTTTAGGCCCACCATGTTTTCCATGTACTTCTCTTTCGTGTCGAAGGAGACCCCCAGAATATGTAAACCCAGGAAGCTTTTCGCAACCAGTTTCCTTGCATCTATAAGGGCGATCGTGTTTGTCCATATGTTTGCTATTAAAATGTCAATGATGTCACTTATAAATATGGGAAAACTACGTTACCTCCACTCGCATTTTCTGTTGAAATCTTTCGTCTCTTCGGTACATCCGGGCCAAGTACAGTAAAATCTTCCATTCGCATCCTTTGTAATTTCCCTGTCAGGTTTTGGTACTGGCTTTGATCTTCCGGGCGATGGCGCTTCCTCCTCATCTTTTGGTAATTCTGGTAACTCTAATGATGTGTGGTCTGGAGTTTCTGTCATAGGTTGTGCTGTGTAAGGGTTTTCGGACATTGGAGGCGGCGGACTTGGGTAATGTGGTTCATCGTGCGGTTTGAACTCGTCTTGTTCTTGAGTTTCATGCGCCATTTGCATCGGGTACTGCGTATCAGGCATAAATGTTCTGGACTCGTAGCTTAAGCTCATGGTGTTGTTTGGACGGGGAGAATCGTAATTTGGAAAGAAGTTTGATCCTTGGCTATGAGGGTACTGTTGAGGGAAATATGTATTATTGCGATTAGGAGAGGGATATAGATTTGACTGATATTCGTCAGGAAGATGATTGCCACGCTCGTACAGCCCGCCTTGGTTGGTTTGAGGATGATTATTGGATTCTTGATAATGGTATTGCTGGTATCCTGGAACTTGAAAAGCGGCGGCTTGAAATTGGTGTTTGCCTCGTGCGCTAAGGTGATGTGGCGAAGTACCAGCCACGCTTATTAGTAATCCATCTCTTTTACCACCTCGATTAATTTCATTTTCATTTTCATTTCCTTCATTAATATTCCGACCTTCAGCTCGATCGGGGGAGCCAATGCTTGTTATATTTGGCTGAGAGTTTAAACCATTAGGCGCGACCACAGAGGCAATAGGCACATCAGGCACGACAGTCACGGGTCCATTGACGCCACGGCTCGAATTTAAATTATGACTCGTTCTAATATTGTCGGTATCGCTTATTCCTTCGTTGCTGCAGGAGCCTTGACGAATTTGAGGAGGGGCTGGCGACTTTGATAATCTATCCGGTCGATTGTCCGATGGACTCGTATGCGACATGGTTAAGAGAGCTGTGTAGAGAAGAGAATGTCCATCAGTCACATCACATGCAAAAAGATGACTACCTAGTAGACATTCGTGTAACCGTACGTATTCCAGGGCTGTAGCGCACTGGAACTGGAGACATCGGATGTGTACTAGGTAGCATTATGTGGAACAAAATAATCCATAATGCAAAAATCGTGACTCACCTTGTTGTGCTCTCGGCGCAGCTGCCTGTGCGTAATTTCGAGTCGCAGTATACCGAAGCTGGTTCAGCTTTTGTATTGGCTGAAAGATTTCTTGATATACACTATTGTGCTTGTAAATCCTTGTATGGTTCAAATGCGAATGCGAATCAGATTGTGGATGCTGGTAGGAGTCACCGGGACGTTGTAAATGGTTGCCCTGAGTATAGTTGCCCTGATATTGACCGAAGATAAATGGATCATAGTCGTGGGGTTCTTGTTTGATGGCTGATCCCGATTGTCGATCTAAAAAAAGGAAACAAATAGTCAGAAAACTAAATCTTATTTAACAAAAACACTGCTGTAGTGACCAGAGTAAAACTGAAACCTCGATCCTCGAATCCTGGCTTTTGTTTGGATTTTCGATTCACTTGGATTACACCCAGAAATTTCCATGGAATAGAAATCGTAATTCTTGCTGATGCTGGTGGACCTTTTTTACTATTCTCTATAACGAGTATTCTAGTAGTAACCAAAGAGGAATGATGATTTTGATTGATAAGTAGTGGCTGCCTCGAAAATAGTTACTTGGACCTGTTCATTTACCATTCGCATCGGTACCTTGGATATATCTGGGAGAAGACAACTCCTCAAAGTGAGCCAGAGCTAACAATAAGAGCCGTATGGAAACAATCGCCTTGGAAAAATCTCACTTAGCACAAGGGATTCGCAGGTGATGTTCTGAATACAGCCGTGCATCATGAATCATCCAGGCCGAGTACGGTAGGAAGAATGTTGAAACTGCAATTTGCCCTTTGATCTGTGCTGAATCGAGATATTCCAGCTGTTAATCCCAACTTGATGGCTTCCTGGTTGGAAGAGGGTCATTCACCCCGGCAACGTCGTCTCATCTTTGGTCAGTCAAACGTTAAGGAAAGCCATGCTGCTCACCGAGTGGTAAATAATTGTTCATCACCGGAGACGAGTTAAACGCCGAGGGCCTGGGAGCCTCGCAAGACAATGACTGCAGACGGCTACGAGATGCATACGGCTGTGCTTGCTGCCAATAGTCGACTCGCATATAAAACATCCAACATACACCCCACAATACCAGGATTGAAAGTTTCACCCCAACCCATGGCCATGTCGAATTAAGAAGACGTTGGCCTCCTGGCCACTCGAGGAACCATCCAAAACCAAACAGATGTCCACGGCGGCAAGAGCCTGTTTCGGGACGAACATAAGGATAGAGTGGAACGTGAGAAATGCTTTGACAGGGCTGCACTGGCTCGAATGTCGTACTCAGGGCGATCAAAAGCAGGTAGCAGCAATAGAGAGCAAGAAAGTTAATAGGCCCTTCTGCACATTGAATAATGGAGATACCCAATCTGTTGGACACATCATGCCAAAGGTTTGGGCTTGTTCTCTCGAGACTTCATCATAGTTAGTTTGAGTAAATCGGTAAAATCATCTATGAATGATTATATGTAGAACTGGAAAGCAAATTTGGACTCATCCAAGCTAGCGCGAAGATCTAAAGTCTTATGTGATCGAGACCTTCGGCGCAACCACTCCCCGCAAAACTTTTAGATGCTGGAACTACTATCAACAGTCTGGAAGATAATCCACAGAGAAAATTACTCCGTACATGAATAACCGAAATACCATTCGGAAAGGAAAGCACAATTGGGACAAAAAGGAAAAATCAGTGCGTCATTAAGGAAGAATAGAGACTTACTTGCCCCCGAAAACCCTTCTGCTTGTCTTTAACTTCTTTTCGACCTCGACCAATTCACATCTATACTTCATGGACTCTGATGCATGTTGAATATTGGTGCGAAGAGACTGCATTTTCTCCATGCAGTGTTGAGCTTGAGCTGATGTGTACATACTGATAGGAGAAAACACGGACATCATAGTTGCGTTGGCGAAAGGTTTCCAATCTTGCCTTCCCACTAAAGCATAAAACAAAACAGAAAAAATGTATAAAAGAAGCATAGAGATATGTCATCCACATGAAATCCGCAAAAAGATAGGATTAGATCCATACTAATAAGACCAACCATGCACGTACTTGTTAAGTAGAGGATGGAAATTTTCATCTTCGTCATTCCGTTATGAAAATTCCCAAGAAATCAGCATTCCACCAACTATACACCGACACTCATATTCCGAACCAGGGCCAAAAACCTCCATGTATCGAGTATCTGGGGACCTCAATAGGATGGAGATAGATCTAAGTTCTAAGCGATGCTTATTTTGATCGGTGAACAGGTTCCTGGCTGCGACGGGTAATCTGACATTGGCGTCACATTATGCAGCCCTGTAGGGCAGGATTCAAATAAATGTGGTGGCTTCTTAACTTAGATGCGCAGCCTCATTCGAAGGTTCTCTGAAGATTCGAAATTCATGGTGATTCGCTTCACCGCGTTGAGTGAGGTATTTACCCAATGTTACGCCGCTGATATACATATCTGGATTTTTTCTGGAAGGGGGGAACGTTGCAATTGATGTTGAAGATTGAATTCTCCTTTTCATTGTTTTTCAAGGATCCAACTTCACAGTCTTTTCATTAATCATTTATTATCTATCACTCAGGCACTTATTCACGCCAGGCTCATGTTATTAACACCTGAGGCGGAAAAGAGATTCTATTCCAATCTATCCACAGGCGCGAAGCTGAACTACCTACAAAGGACTTTTCTCCCCCATCATTTTTTTACGATATTCCAAAAGTATCTTCGAAAAGCCCTCGTGGTACATAAATCGATTCAAATCCTCATTATGCGTCGTAAAACTTACCAAAGAGGTTATCAGAAACGAGGTTTCCCATGTTGTTTCCAGGATTGAGGAAATCTCCAGTTGGTCTGAATAGATTTCGAGGTTAAGAAGGCTCATTGTAACTGTGTCACTGTGATACCACGAATGTTACTCTGGGTGAATTCCTATTGGAGCATTGCACAGCTGCACCTCCTCATTCCTCGTGATAAGTCATCCAGGGTATCAACTAGTCGACAACTAAGAGAAGATAACGAAACGTTACTTGTTTTCCCATTTGCCAAGTATTCAATAGTGTCTCCTTGCTCGCTTTATCTCCTTCTGCAGCAGTAAATCTTATGTTGAGATCTTCATGTTCAGCCCCGGCGGCACAAACAAATATTCTTCTGCATGATGGGGGATTTGATAATGCTGCAGAATCTTTGTAATGTTGTTTGTTAGGAAGTGCCTCCCAACTTCAATCGAACCGTTCCTTGCTATTTGTTTGTGGAAAAAGCCACTCGACAATGGAGATCTTGGACCCGAAGGGAATACCAAGATACTGTTACGTCAATAAGCTGCATATGCCTTCACCAATAGCATGATTTGCAGATTGTGATGTTGATCTGCTATACGACCTTCGCCGCAACATGCCAATGAGCCATCTCAGGCAGCAACGTGGCAGATTAGGACGGTTGCATAGTTTGCAAGCCCTTTGACCTCAGATTCCACATCTCTCCGTTGCCGCACCTCAGCTTCAAGCACCAACTCCAAGTTGTTCGAGAGAAGAGCAATGCTCATATGTCAATATTTGAAAGCGAGACCATTTCGTGGTTTATACCGACGAGAAAGAAGGTCGCTAGAGTTTGACCAGAACATATCTGAATTATCGAATGTTGTTCGACTTCACGGATCTTTTGCATGAAAATCATCACGTTGATATTTAATTCTTCACCACTTTTACGCTCCATGATTCCAATATTCCCATTCAAGACACCAAGATAAAACATGCGAAAATCATCACCCATTACTATGTATCTATTTTCTTTAGAACGGCACAGAATCAATTATCTGAATCTTTGATTTTAAGATGGCAAGGATGATTGTCATTGATACATATACAAGGGAAAAATGATTCGCAAGGAGCACTTCTGCGTTTGCATTTGGGAATCTCCAATCGTTTTACCAATCAAACTCACTCCTTCGAGCCACCACTTCACAGTCCTAAGCCCAAAGAACATACTGATACGGTCCGGACTAACGCCTTGGAAATTTGCATTACCTGTCAAACAATAGATAAACGTCTGTGTTTGCAAACACAGCTAGAAGTTCTTCAAAACTACTCTCCGCAGATCTGAAGGCGGGGTAAATACACTGAAAAACCTTTTAGCTTGATAGCATCTTCAAGACACAAAAGCCGTAGGGCGAGATAACGCGCGGTTAGTCTGTGTCGAAAAGTTTAAAATCATGGCAATGATGTTACTATCAAGTGTGACGCGTAGACTTTTATACTTTCGGAGATTGTTCGACCTGCGATTCCAAAACTCCTATGATATGGTAAATGGAAAATTGACAGCATACTCCGTATATGTATTGAGGACAGGATAACCCCGCAATATCAGACACCCGCCCCCCAAAGAACTATCACTAACCAATAATTCATAAAATCTCAAGGGCCCGACTTTGCAAATTCTATTCAATGCCGATTCTAGTATACCGGGATCAGCTTTTCGGTCCCGAACTAGGCATGTTCCATTTGCTGATCCATTGGAAAATGAAATCCTTGATTGTTGTCTTAATGTGTGCACGTGCGATATCGACCGTGCCGTTTTTGCCGAGATGCTAATCTACTCTGTTCTGTTAATTGTTGCGGAGTTACATGCAATTCAGCGGATTTAAGGTTTATTGATAGTAGGTATGTGTGGAAGAATTTAAATATACTATTGGATTGATCAATTCCATATAAAGAGACTTTTATGCTTTTAGAGGGTTTATAAATAATATAGGTTAATTATCATATAAATATTTAGTTTCGGCAATTTCCAACTGAAAGATTCTATCATTTCAAAATACAACCAACCCATCGATTCGGGATTTGAGGAATTTTCCGCCGGACAAAGATCCCTCAACCTCGAAACTAAGCGGAACAAAGTGACAATTTCCGCGCTCAACTCGCGACATCTCCTAGATTGAAGCAGGTATTTTTTAATTTCCTTTCCCCTCTTTGCTTTATATAATCGGTGATTAATCAATATGGAGACAAATTACCGCAATGCAATGATCAAAAAGAAAAATTTGCTTCAAATTTTGATCCTTTATGATATTTACCATTTTTAGCGTTGCAGCTGTGCTTAGCTTAGCTCCCCGAGCTGTGTCACAGACAGAGTGGAGCGGGATCTCCCTTCGATGAAGCTTATGTCATGTTATACTTCGTACGTTTACAAGTGAGTCGATATCTCAAACGGTGCTGATACCCACCATAAACATTTGATTTGTAAGCTTCCGATTTGCGATTTGCGATTACTATACGGAGGAAGGTTACTCTGATAAGAAATTGACAAGTGTCGTGTCGAGCACTCAGGTCCTTGAAAGCGGGAGGAAATATATCAGATTTTACATACATACATACATATATATTCATCCCACGTCCATATAGCGGCCTATGGATTGACAGCCATTATCCCATCAAGCCGATCTATCCGCTGCTTGTCTGTGGGAGCCGTCAACGGCTAGTGGCATCTTAGCGATGTAGAGATTCGGAGTGAAGATGCTCCACTCGTCCACCACTAGTGACACGGGCATGGGGCATTTACCACCCATTTGCCTTATCGATCCACTTCACCCCTCGAGTTGAATGAAACATCTCCCTAAAACTTGCACAGCTGCGAGCCCTTACCGGCTTAGAACCTTCTATCTTCTATTCTTCCATCGCTAGCTCTCAGTCGGGTTTCCTTACCGCCTGCATATCCGCTGCTGTCAAGAATAATGGGTCCGCCAAATTCCGTTTTGCAATCGGCTCTTATTAATACGACAAAATGCGGTATTGCCCTGGACACGCCCTTCGAATGATTATTTTTCAACCCAAAAAGCAACTTTCGGTCCCGAATTTTTTTACTTTTACCTCCACGGTCTCGCTATTCGTGCTATCAAAACTATAAAAATTACCGAACCTTAGGAAGCCATTGTTGCTATTGGTCAAACTGCCCCATTTTCCAAACTCCCCTCCCTTTCTATTTATCATGACTTAGCGTTCGGACTTTTGAACTTCCCGTCGCACGAGTAGTTCATGGGACATTTCATCATCATTTGTGGAGTTTGGAACAAGCAATACAGATGTTAAATTTTGGGTAGTGCTTCAAAAGATTTTCAAAACTTATATATATCATCTTACAATATCTTCAAGCCTTATCCACATCCCCAAGTTTGATACCTCACAGTTCTCTGCATATATCATCCATCTCACAGACATCCCAGCTCTCACTACCTACACATTCCCAAGTTGAGCCAGACCGACCCTTCAAATCCTTCCAGAACTAAGTTTACGAGCATTCCTCGGTATCGTATCCACTTCCCAATCTCCTGGGATAATTATTATCGAAAGTTGCAGAAAGGAATCCATATATTTGTGCACATACCCAGTATACTTCAACAAGGACCCGCATACCAGCCTTCCACTCAAGAGTCCTACAGATCATATATATATCTACTTGCCCCGGGGCGCAAGATATACCCCTTTTTGAGTTAGAGGAGCATCGCAGCACGAGGATTCAGTTTAGTGCAGGGTTTGAAGATAATTCTAGGTCAAGTTCCGGAAAAGTTGTCGAGCAGGATTTGAATAAGGCTGTCGGTACCAAATCGGATATTGAAGCCGATACACTTATTTCGAATTCGAGATGGATACTGCAGCTAGTAGAATGTCTAATGAACATGAACATGTGAATGAGGAGAGGTGGAACGATACCGCTAGTATCGACACCGAACCCTTTCCCGGACAAGGTAGCGAAGAAGAACCATCAGGAGGACGTAGTCAAACTACAACATTAGCGAAAGAGGACGTCGACGTGGAAGCACAAGGCGAGAAGGAAAAGGAAGCTGCGTTGGATTTAAAAAGAGAAAAGGAAGAACATGACCCGAATCTGATAACTTGGGATGGACCGGATGATCCCGATAATCCGATGAACTGGCCCACAAAGAAGAAATGGTTCGTCACTGTCATTCTGGGTTTCATGACTTTCGTCGTTACTTTCGCGTCTAGTGTTTTCAGTACGGCTACAGTTACTGTTGCAGAGTTGTATAATGTTTCCGAGGAAGTGGCTGTATTAGGTACTTCATTGTTTGTCATGGGTTTCGCAGTTGGTCCTTTGGTATGTTCTCATTCTAATTCTCTGTTCTGGAAGCTCCAAGACAGAGCATACATATATTATATAGACAAAGCGACTAACAAAATATAGATATGGGGACCAGGATCCGAACTCTTCGGTAGAAAACTCCCTCTCTTCGTCGGCTACGCCGGTTTCGCCATCTTCCAAATTCCCGTTGCTGTAGCTCAAAACCTTGCCACGATCATGATATGCCGATTCCTTGGCGGCGCCTTCGCTTCTGCCCCATTGGCAATTAACGGAGGAGCATTAGCAGATTTCTTCGGTCCTGTAGATCGTGGTATTGCTGTTTGCGTCTTCTCCGCAGCAACATTTATTGGTCCGATTGCAGGACCTATCGGGGGTAATTTTATCACGCAGTCGTATCTGGGCTGGAGATGGACAGCTTGGCTTACTTTGATTTTGGCTGCGGGTTTTGGAGTAGTGGGTCTGATTTTTGTGCCTGAGAGTTCTCATCCGAAGATTCTTCAACAAAGGGCTGCAAGATTAAGATTTGAAACAAAAAATTGGGCTATTCATAGTAAAGCTGATGAAGTAAGTCATCTTCCCTAGATACTCCTTTCCATCTTTTCCCAAAATTCCACCCCAACTTACAACCAAATCAAACAACTAACCCCATCACCAGATCAAACTCGACGCCCAAACCATCATCCAAACCTATCTCTTCCGTCCCTTCATCATGCTCGTCCAAGAACCCATCCTCCTCCTCATCACCCTCTACATGGCCCTCATCTACGGAATCCTCTACCTCTTCTTCGAAGCCTACCCCATCTCCTTCCAACAAGCACGCGGCTGGTCCCCCGGTATCGCCGCCCTCCCCTTCATCGGAATCCTCATCGGCGTCCTCATCGGCGCCTGCACCATCGCCTTCATAACCAAAACCCGCTTTGCGCGCAAGCTCCAAAAACATGGCAAAGTCATCCCAGAAGAACGTTTACCCCCCATGATCCTCGGATCCTTCATCCTCCCCGTCGGACTCTTCTGGTTTGCCTGGACATCCTCTCCACATATCACATGGGTTCCGCAGGTTATCTCGGGAGTATTCATCGGATGGGGAATTTTGATGATTTTCTTACAGGGTTTAAATTACATCATTGATGTATACAAATGGCATGCTAATTCCGCCATTGCGGCGAATACTTTCCTGCGGAGTTTTGCGGGCGCAGGGTTTCCGCTCTTCGCGCAGTATATGTTTAAGGGGTTGGGTGTGTCGTGGGCGACGAGCGTCTTGGCTTTTGCCTGCGTAGCTATGATTCCTGCGCCGATCCTTTTCTTCGTATATGGAGCGAGAGTGAGGGCGCTATCGAGATTTAGTCCTAATGTTTAACCGAGGCTGGACTGGAAGACGAGTAGGAAATCTATGAACTGAAACTAGAGCTTGAGAGTACACAGAGGGGTTGTGAAATTCGAGAAATGAACATATTCACATACATCTATATATGATATCTTATCGACGAGATCACGTTTACATACATACATAGATACATTTACGTTTCGTATATATGTATAGCGATATGAGAGTTTGGGTATTTGGAAATTGGTTTGCATAGCGAGGAGTTTACCGGTCTATCGATAGTTTTCAAGATATATATTCCCTGGTAGAAAGATGAGTAAACAAATAAATAATTAATCAATCAAATTAAATAAAATAAAATAAAATAAAATAAAATAAAATAAAATAAAATAAAATAAAATAAAATAAAATAAAATAAAATAAAATAAAATAAAATAAAATAAAATAAAATAAAATAAAATAAAATAAAATAAAATAAAATAAAATAAAAACTTAAATATATAACCGAGATGCTTTTTTTAAAAGAGAATTAAATTGTGATATAAGTAAAATAATAAATATTTTTATTTTTTAAACCCTACAGAGTATACTCGAGTACTCTAATATCCATCCTGTATTCTTATTTAATCAGCCTCAGGTTTATTCAAAATTCAAAAGTTCAAAATTCTTATACTACCCTACACCTCGCCTCTCTCTCCTCTCCCAAGATGAATCATATATTAATTACACCATCTCTCAAATTAACTAAATATATTCAACTCTACTCAACTGAATCTATTTACTCAACTCAACCTTACCCTAATTAACCCTCCTAATTCACCGTGACATCTTCGGTTAGGGGACTTAAATCCTCATCTTTAATTTATACAACTAAATAACCAAAATAATTATTTCATTTCACTCCCATCCATATCACTCAATTCACCTCACTCATCACTTTAAAAGAATAATAATCCATTAATCAATTTACTCCATCTACTTTACTCTTTCCCTGGGTAGGAACCTATTCCACCCAACTTCTTTCCTCCTCCCAATCCTTTCTTCTAACCCGACAATTTAATTCCTCTAATCCTATTTCCATCCATCCATCCATTATTTCATCAAGTCCCCCATAACATCACCTCTACTACCAACCACAGTGCCCCTTCTCAACCTCGGATCATAACCCTCTCTATCTCTATCCCTCGCACTAATCCCTGTTACCCCTCTACTTCTAGATTCACCATTCCTACCACCCCTACTCCTTTGGCCCTGCTCCTCCTCCACCACTCCTCCTTCCGGAACTCCCAAATCAATTTCTGTCAGCCCACCTAAATCCCCTTGTGAAATCCCCCTACTTCTTTGCGTCGTCGTCACCTCTTTCTCCTGCACTAATCTCTCCCTCACATCGCCACCTCTACTCTCTCTTCCACTGTTACCCATAACCTTTCCCATCCTATCCTCTCTAAAATCCATCCTCTCATCTCCATATTCACTACGTCCACCAGCAGGCACCAATTTACTAGTCGTAACCCTCTCCTCATAACTATACTCCCTAACGTCGTCACCCCCATCCCTACTTCCACTTAAACTTCTTCTCACCGACTCCACAACATGCTTCCGCTTCTCCTTCAACTTCTTCTCCACCTGAACCAAGGTATTCAAATTCGCATGTCTAGCCTCCAAACTCTGTTCATCCACCAACCTATTTTTGTTCCGAATGTCACTCCACCTCGTCATACTACCCATTTCTAACACACTCATTCTGCGCATGATATGTGTGGGATTTCCAATAATGATCGGCCTAAATTCTTCATCCACATCATCGCCTGTATTTCCTTGTATATACTGTTCCCTCTTCATCGCCTGATAGCGTTCCAACTCGCCTGTTTTTGATTCCGGAATAATTTGTACATCTTGGAAACGTGCGAGCACACCGATAAGAAGAACAGAGAGGATAAGTAGAACACCGCACATCACGCCTGTGGCGGCCTGCTGACCCAGATGTCTCTGAGCAACTCCTCCAACTCCACTTGCCACTGCCGCAATACAGAATCCCATACCTTGTGTGATACCAAAAGCGGCACACACGCGTGGGAAACAAGAGTAATTTGTCACTTTGCCGGATTTACTGCCACTTCTCGGACGTCCCGTCATACCAGGCTGAAGATCCGAAGTATCGAAAGTCTCCATAATGATACCATTACACTCAGAAACAGCGAGGTTCGAAAGGAAACCAATGGCAGCAGCGAAAATGATAGGTAAGATGAATGGAACTGGTGGCCCGGTGGACGAGAGTGTATAAGCTAGGCCCATGAATGGAAGAAGAATAACAAAAATCGAGCGTCGAACGAAATGGGATGATAGAGAGATCTTTTTCTTCTTCAATGTATCGTCGTCACTTTGCATCCCTTCTTTCCGTTCTCGGCTGAAGATGCCTGCTTTTTGAAATGGAACGGAGAGAAGTGCACCAAGTGGAATCGATGCCACGCTTGCGCCAACATATGGAGATTTGAATTTGTAGTATTTTGAAGTTAAAGAACCGAGAAGCTAGCCATCGTTAGATAAGATATTACTTTGTAAAAAAATCGTAGCAACTTACAATCATAACCAAGATAATCTGACCATAAATCCAAGCCTGATAAAATGCTAAAACCAGAAAGCCAGGTTGACGCATCATGCTTTGCGTTAGCAACAAACCATGATGAAATTCCTCACCCCACCACTTCGGTCCGGTATGTACTCTATGCATTTTAACCTCACCCTTTGCCAACCTTCTAGACACTTGATCATCTTTTCTAATTTCAGTAACGGATCGTCTAAAAGCAGATCGTCGAACTTCAGGACCAACCACATTCAGAACTAATACCAGCGCAAGAATGGCAATACTAATATAGAAGCCCCAAGCAGGCGTCAAGAAGTTGATAATAATTGCGCCAAGCAAGAATCCAACTCCAATAGATCCAAGGTAACACCAGGTCCATATACCCAGCCAAAGACCCATGCCACCACCATGACGTCTAACATCACTTTCATCGACGTATTCTTGGTGAGGATTAGCACTTTGAAGCGAAGCACCAAAAAGATCCATCAAAGTAGACAAAAAGTTCATGTTAGCAAAACCAAGTGCAAAACCCATGAATGATCGAGACAAAAGCAGACCAATTCTCCAACCGTCCAAGTTAGGATTTCGCGTTGCACCAACAGCCAAAGCTTGAGGGAAAAGCAGTGGCATGGCAAGCGACATTGAACCAAGAATATATGGCTTACGACCGTGTAAAAGTGGGAGTGGCCAAAAGAGAGTAGTTGGAATGGCAAGACCTATGAAAAAGAAGACGTTCCCAAGTACTGTGAAATGGTGCAAGTCCACAATCGAGTATTGGATCGAAGGAACCTCGCCTGCATAGATACCAATTACAAGGCCAACAAGAAACGTACTGAGACATGTTATGATAGCCGTGAATCTCTTCCGCGAAGAAGACCAGTCTCTGGCGATAGGTTTTCGTTTGTGAGTTCTTGCCAGGCTGAACCCTTTATGATCTTTTAGGCTGACATGTCTTTTGCCTTTAAGATTGAAGAAATGATGACTCATATTCGTGTTCATCTTCAAGGAACGGTTGGAACCATCTCTGTTTATAGGCGGTCGTTGGTCTCGTAGTTCTACGAATTTATCTCTGTCCTCATCATCCCCTCCACCCCCACTAGGCTCGCCACCTTGTGCGGCTTGTCGAAATTGTGATTGAGCTCGACTTCTGAGTCGACTCCGTGGCTGGCTTCGAGCTGTTCCCCCTTTCCCCTCAACATGTTGCATAATGTATTCATGATGAAATCCTGTTTGAAAATCAACTGTCTCAGAAGGATGTGAGCCATCAAGACTGTTTGAAACGGAAGTTTTAACACGAAGTGTAGTGACAGGAAGTCTGGCTAGTGTGGCTTCATCCTCTTCATAAAGTTGCTTTCCTGGGCGTGTCTCTTCATCACTTTGGGAACGTAAAAGACTAGGAGACTGGTAGACCGTATGACGCTCAGATATGTCTTGCCAGCCAAAACCACCAGATGTAGTAGTTCTCGATGGTTTCTGTTTCTATTAGCACGCTTTGATAAAACATCTTTGATAAAGAGGAATGTGAGGCAGTTTAATCTATCCTGTTTTTGACATACCTCAAGGTTGCCGTTACTTATGACAAAATCAATCCTATTAGACTCAGATGATGGTGAGACCCCTGCGGTGCTTTTTCTTGGCATAGTGAGACGCTGTGTTAACGGCGGCGGTTTTTTGGAATTGCTTGGAAGGTCCAAAGCATGTAAGGCTCTAGAACTGTCCCAAGTAGCACTCCTTTCACGCTTTCTAAAAGCCTGATCAGGTATGTTGAGATTCGTACCGAGTGCTTCTTTCTCTTCCTGCCTTTCCAGCGGCTCTTTAATCGCAACGTCGGAGGCAGGTGCTTGACTTGTGGTTTCATCCTCGGTAAACTCATCATCGTCAGTATTGCCTTCGGTACTTGTTCCAGAATAACTACGAGCACTTTCGTGTGCACTTGGGATACTTTCAACGCTTGACAATGCCTCGTTTCTGGGTCTCCTTCGGTTCTTCTGTGGGACAGATGATGTCCCGTTGTCCATGTATTTGCGACCACCCTTCAAAATTGCAGCTGCATTACTAAGAAGATTTGGCACACTGTTATCATCGTCTTTTTCTGCAGCTTGTCTTGCGATCAATAGTGCTTCGTTAAGCAGTTTTTCGAGGTCATTAATAGTCCTTGTGAAAGTTGCTGCAACAGCTGCTCCTTTGTCTTTCGGATCAGCGAAAGTGATTTTTGGCTTGGTTTCAAGGGGACTTGGTGTAGCCCCAAGAAACAGCTCCTCTACTGGCACTGCTGGTGCTGTAAAGGAACGTTGGCGGCCACTAGACTCACTATGAGCTTCGGCACGTCGAGATCGTGGCGGTAAGGCCGTCAGTCTAGGTGCATATGCATCGTTACTGCTCAATAGCTCTTTAAGCCAATGAACAGTGCTTTTGCGATTCATCGTTCTGTCCTCTGAAGTAGTGTTGGTGGTAGAATCTGCGACAGACATCAAGCCCTCCTTCGACCCACGGCGCCTAGGAGTATCTTTTTTGGCAGGCACAGCAGAGGAGTTCCTGTCCCTATTCCTGGGTTTTAGAGCGCGGTTTTTCGAAGAATCTCGTGGAGGAATAGCATCATATATGGTGGTGGTAGCTTTTGAGGATTCCTGTCTTCTATTTCCGCTAGTTGAGGTAAGAGGTATCTCTTCCATCTCCCCAGAGTTTGGCGAAAGACTCTGAGATTTGGGGTTTTCTTCCTTGGCAGGAGAAAAGTCTATTATCGATATTTCAGGCTCCCGGTCATCAAAATAAGACTCAGGGGCGGATTCTGGTGCCTGAGTCCACAAAGAGTCTCGTCGCAAATACTCGTCGGCAGTTTTAGCTGCTTCAGCTAGAGAATCAGCAACAAGCATTCTGTATGCATCACTTGCCTCGGCTTTCTCAATTCCAGGCGGCACGACCATGTCCTGCACAGCATTACGAACAGCTACCTTGACTGCATCTTGAACCGCATCTTTTACTGCAGGAACAAAGCCCCAATAGGACGCATTCAGAGGATCAACCGGCGGAAAGGCTTCTGGGGCATCTTGCTGCTGTATTTCTTCTACAGACTTCTGGTCGGTAAGGGCTTTTGTACGTGCTTTGTTACGTTCAGGGATACTAGGCTTCCTATCAGAAAAATCGCTAGGGGTATCCGCTGGTTTTGGCTTCTTTGGAACAGTCACAACGGCGGTGAGCAAAGGTACTGATGGACTTGACTTGTCGATATAGCCCAGCTTGATACATGTAGGCGATATTTCTTCTACGACAAGCTTGTCTGCCGACGAAGTACCAGATTGGTTCGCAAATTCGTCTCCCTCCTTTGCAGCATTCAATGCAGAGAGCTCTGCTGCTGCCGCAATATCGGCCAATATTGGCTCTAGGAGTAATTTTGTGCCTGAGCTCGGCGTGGCAACTTGGGTTGGAATAGTAGCCTTTTCTGTTGTACCTTTGGATGATGATGTAACGGTCGTTAAGACTGGTGGGACAGGTAGCCCAGTATCTACTGGTGTACCTGTTGCTAAAGGCGATTTGAGTAAAGAATGGCGGACAGATGTCCTTGATGCTCCGGAAAGCAATGATGGCGTTTTTGCTTTAGCTCGAACAGATCCAGTCGAAGGAGATCGACCTAGTTCAGGAAGTAAAGCTTTCTGAGCCTCATCTTTGGAGATTGAGACAGTTGGTTTAGCTTTAGGACCTGGTAGGCTAAAATTTGTGACGACTGCCGAAGAAAGGGGTAGAGGAGTGAGTTCATCAACAGCCATCTCGCTGGTCAAAACATGAGGGAAAGTGTCAACCGAGCTGACACTGCTGCCTCGGGTGGGAGGTGGAGATCCTTCGGTATTTCTTGGGTTTGTTACGGTTGCTGTTGTAAAGGAAGATTCGGACTTCGTATTATCTTGGGCACGAGTACCACTCGACTTTTTATTATCTCGGACACGAATACCATCGGACTCTGGCTTGTAGCTTAAAGACCGCGTCAAAGTTTGTTGGCCCCTAATATTGTTGAGTGCAAAGTCAAGGTTTGCCACACCATCTGGGACCATCGTTACATCAACTTTGAGAAGATCATTTTTTGGCAATAGAGTTGAGGGCAAAGGATGATAAATATAGTGTTCTTTGCAATTTGGAGGACAAGTTGGGGAGCAAGCGATTTCTGGCTGACCCTTGACTTCCTCTGGGGGAGACTGCGGAAGTTTAGAGAATCTGGATAACTCCGCATCGGCTACAGCGAGTGCTGTACATTCCTTACTGGTTGGTTGTTCGCAGTGCGGGCAAGTTTGATCAATATCCTGGGCAGAAGTATCTTCCGTAGGTACTTTTTGATATATATTCTTGATTGGCGGAAGACAGGATCCAACCGCGATCTTGGAACTGTTGGGCTTACCAGGCTTTTCAATATCTCGTACTACCAACTTAGGGAGCCGAAAATAGCCCGTTTTCGTCGGAGATTTGGATTCGAGGAGTTTCGAATTGATGGAAGGATCAACGTCAGCAGCACCGCCATCGATGCGAAGATCGTTTGCCGAACTCGAGCCCCGTAATCTGGCTGTGCGTTTATTCGTAGACACACTAGGGCTGGAGTTTTGTCGAGATTTTTGAACACGTGGGACCTCGATATCCATGCTACCGTCAGAGCTATGGAAGTTACGGGCCTGTGGCTCCACGCCGAGGAACCCAGAATCCGATCGTGTACCTCTTGCAGCCTTCTGGGGAGTTATATATTCGTCGAGACTTCCAAAGGCTCTGGCCTCGTGTCGTGGTGGGTTGCGTTCGTCGGATGGATTTGGGGTTCGAGGTGGGCGACTTGTATTGCGGGATAAAACGAGTGCACGAATTCGCGAGAGGATATCCTCCTCAACACGACAATTAGTAGTGTGATCAAAGCCAGTACTCTGTGCAGAAGATGTCCTTCTGCGGCCAGTGATGGATACTTCAGCCGGCCCAACGGACGGAGAGTCCATTGGTCGTTGAAAAAGCGTGCGGTAGTCTTAAAGGTACATAAGGTAACGAATATTATAGGATAATTTTGATGAATGAATATAACCAAACGAGTGTTATTATTTATGTTTACTGTTTAAAAACGAGCGTAAAGCTGTGTGATTTAGATATGTGATTTTGGATTGCAGGTCTCAAAAGAGACGATACAAACGGAAAGAGCATTCGAGGTGTTGCCATCAAACAGATTTGCACATTCTCGAGCATCCATAAACTAAGCTCACCTTGCACCTTCCGTTTTAACCATTGCAACGCTTGTTACTCACTCGGCATCGATATTTATAACATTGAACCGGGAACACTTTAAAGTCCAAAAGCAATTGCTTGAAATGAAGGCTTATATCGAATTGCTAGCTTATGACGTCTGACATGTTTGGACCTCTGCACATTACCGCATACAGACTGGAAATGCCCGGTCATTCATACGTGTTACTTGTAGTAGGAATACAAGTTACGAAAAAACCGATACCAAAAGTCATATTTTTCATCGTAATGGCTACTGCGATTGTGAGGGTCGCGGGTGGTGCGTCCAATGAGTGTGACATATATTGACGCCTTATTCAAGCCTATCACTCTTCATCCCCGTTCTTAAAGTCTTCACTGACATCTTTATATATATCAAACCTTCTCTGGGTCTGAATCGGTATTCCTTTTCTCGTCTCTTCAATCTTCTCTCCGTTCAGCTCAGCATAAACAATTTCTTCTTGCTCGGCAGCCTCAACAAGCACTTGTGCCATTGGATCGACGACCAAGCTATGTCCCCAGGCATGATAACTAGCAGTTTCATCTCTCGAGGGGCTGCACAAGGCTACATAAATCTGATTGTCCATAGCTCTTGCTTGTCCTTGTAATCTCCAATGAAGAGGACCTGTTGTAGTATTGAACGCGCCAGGATAAATCAAGGCAAAACATCCCTTTCGGGCCGCAATCATAGCTAACTCTGGAAATCGGACGTCATAGCAAATCGCCACTGCTATCTTACCGTATTCTGGCAGATCAATCATAGTAATATGATTGCCTGGGGAAAGGACCTCCGATTCCCTGAATGTAATCTTTCCGGGTATATCGATGTCAAACAGATGAACTTTTCGATGGGTAGCCAATAATTCACCAGATGGAGAAAATGTCAACGAAGTATTGTAATGATTTTTGGTAGCGGGTGAGTATTCTGGAATGCTACCGCCTACCAGGTAAGTCTCCGTCTCCGCGGCCATGGCGCTGAGGGCGTGAAATGAGGGCGATTGCTCAGAGGTGGGGGGAGAGGGTAGGAGAGTTTCCGCATATTTGGGGAAGTATTGAGTACCATAGGGAGAGTTGAAACATTCGGGGAGTACAATGATTTTTGCACCGGCCGATGCGGCTTCACGGACCTTTTCGCGGGCGTGCACTAGATTATGAGATTTGTCCGCCCCTGTTGTGGTTTGTTAGCCTCCTGTGGTGTATCATGATGAAGCTCTTGATAGTTCCCAGAAAGACGAACCACTAGCCAGTTGTATCAGGGCGATTTTGACCGGTTTCTTGAGTAACTGAGACATGTTGCGGCGTGTGGCCTGTCTTGAGAATGAAATCGATCGTGCGGTAAACTTGGGCAGAAATTGTAGTGTAGCCTTAAGCATCATACCACGGATACGTATTTGCTATATTGATGCCTCGAAGCTACAAGATCTGTTGAAGCTCAAAGTGGGCTCCCCTCGCTTGAATGACAAATACCGGCTAAGGGACGTGCACCAGCAACTTCCGATGTCTCACGACTTATTTGAAGCACTGTATCTGAATTCAGGGGAGTGACACCTACAAACAAGGTATGTGCAATTTACAAGGTGAAGATCGATCGGATATTAGATTATATTACTGGCAGTGATATGGACTTTGGTTTTTATGGATCATTAATTTTTCATAAGCGGTCTCAAATCCTGAAGAGAGAAAACAAGGTTTTTGTGTCATCATTCATTTATTTTTCGTTTTTGGCTACGGCATCTCCTGGCTGGAGTTATGAAGTGAAGCCTCCAGATACAACGATCTGGAATAGCCAGTAGCTAGCTACGAGCAGGGCACTTCCATACATATCTATGCTTTATGCCCAAAGTTGTGTATTTACAACGCAACTAAAATTAAGTGGAATCAACACCCTACTTCAATGCAGCACGGGCGAAAGTTGGCAAGACAAAGCTTGCTTCGTGGATAGCAGCGTTGTAGTAGCGGCACAACTTCTCCTCCTCTTCTGGGGACCATTTGCGGACAGGCTTGCTGAGATCGCGATCGGCGTCCTTACAGCATACCATGAATCCAATTTGGCCAGATGGGTATGTAGGAATGGTGGTATAGGCGTATTCGACGTTGGGGAATACTTCTTTGCAGTCCTTCTTGAGCTTAGTGATCAATGGGAGGTGGAGCCATTGGTTCTCGGCTATGAGAAACGGAGCGTTAGCATTCATGCCCCGTGAAAGGGAAATTCAGAGGGGGTATATATATAGGATGATAAGGAAAAAGCGAATGTCATTTGCCCACCGCTACTACACACAGCACTAGAAGTGTAAGCATAGAAAAATGAAACATACAACCTTGTGTGGTAATGACGCCACCCTCCTTAAGAGCACCAAATAGCAACTCAAAGTATGGCTTCTGGAACAAACTTTCGGCAGGTCCCTCTGGGTCGGAAGAATCGGTGATGATAACATCAAATTCGTTCTTGTAATCGTCCAGGAATTTGAATCCGTCACCGATGTGAGTCTTGACCTTGGGGTGTTGATAGCTGATAGCCATTCCAGGAAGGTATTTCTTGGAAAGACGGATGACGGCCTGTTACACAATGTCAGTATAAAAAGTAAGTCATGAATTTTAGATATCTGCTACCAACCTCATCAATGTCGCAGAGGATTGCTTCCTCTACACAATCGTGTTTGACCACCTCACGCAAGACACCTCCATCCCCTCCACCAATGACCAAGACCTTCTTTGGGTTGGGGTGGGAGTTCATAGCCAAGTGGGTGATCATCTCCTGGTATGAGAATTCATCGCGCTCAGTGCATTGAATGACATTGTCGAGGACCAAGACGGTGCCATAATCAGTGGACTCGAAAATTAAAACATCTTGAAATTTGCTCTTCTCGTGGTGAAGGACGTTCTTAACCTTGAGGGTCATTGCCTGGCCAGGCCACATCTCGGAAATTTCGCGGAACCAGCCATCTGTCAATCACCTAATCAGCTTCGGATACTTTTTTGCATATTGTCGGATGTAGCACGTTCCCGCAGATGCTGTATTGGCCCAACTCCAGATGCACGCCGAAAGGCGTAGAAATCATTCAGGCAATGGCATTGAACCCTGACCGCAACATACATGTCACCCCAGGGAATGTCTTACTTGAAAACAATATTCGATTATGTTCGCGTAGCACACAACGCAGTGATGTAGAGCAGAAGAAGAAAAGAAGATTACTCGGACATACCCTTGATAGTGGGGTGGGTGATCTCTGACATCTTTACGATAGATTTGGAAAAGAATCGGTTTGGAAGGTTGTATCGTGGAGAGCAAATGAGGGTTCTGGAAAAACGAATACGGAATATGTTGAGGGGAGAGAAAGATAAACTCGTTCCTTGATGGAGGTTTGGAGTGAGACTGATTGAGGTTGGGTATCTAGTGTAAAACGCGCAAGGAAGATTGCAGGTACAAGTGGTTCTTGCAATAACAAGCGAAATAAAAAGAGAAGTGGAAATGGTAGAAGTTTGCCAAAAAAAAAAAAAAAAAAAAGACCAACAAAAAACGACCTTGGTTCCCTGGTGTCAAGAATACCCTGAAGAGTTTTTTTTTTTTTTGATATGACTGCTGCTCCCAAGCACTTTCCTACCCCACCTTACACCTTATTTGATATGAGACCCACAAAGCTACTGTGATTGGTTAGTTTTCACAATTCTCGAAGATTTCCCCAAAGGGAGTTAATTTTTTGATATTTATCTGATGTTACGGGACAAATTGGAAGCTGTTCACTCAATAAATATATACTAGCTCTAATAATTGTTCAAGGGTCAAAATGATGACTTTTTCCTCACCACCTTGATCAAATGTTGATTATACTCTGTACATAGTAGGTACTCACAGCCTGCCCGGTATATATTATTTATTAGCTTGAGGGGTATTATCAATCTCAAGATGATCCTTAAAATCTCACTGATGAGAGTGGGGCGAAAATTGAAAGGTAGAAATGTACGGAATCGAAAAAAAAGCCAAAAGAAATAAGCATCATTGGGGAAATACCGGTAGGTAGAAAAGTATGTGCCACCTGGATGTGGGATGATCCTTGTTATTGGAATGAGTGCACTTGGTCAAATCGGATTTACTGATTTACTAGAGAAAAGGACGAATCAAGTTGTCCAACCGGATTACTTGTAAGTTAAGTTGTTAGGTTGCCTACGGAGCCCTTGCTTATTTGTTTGGCCTTGAGAGATTTCCGTCGATAATAAATGGTTCGTTTCAGGTGTATCTAGAAGAGGGGAACTTGCTGGACGGGTCCGTAGCTGCTGCATTATTTCTGCATGGCATACTAGGGTAGACACTCTAACTTACGGCTCGCTCAGTACCGGAGTAGAATTACCCTTCTATCTAAAGCAGTCAGGTTCAAATCTACGGCCCGCAATATAGTATGTACTTTAAACTGTGTGTGTCCCATGTGTGCCCTGTATGACGAATATGAGATTACCCCGAGGTTGGCTTCTCTCTTAAAATGTTACACTTATGACAAAGTTCAATGCTTACCTAGTATTTATATTTGTGATAGAATTACTGGCAGACGAAGCTTCCTTGTACATTCCTACTTCTTCTATAGGTTAGGATACCTACTCCCTTTTGAACCTCGTGCTGTGGATGGTGATGCACCTATTTTCTCACCACGCCGACCATGATTTCCTTCTTCTCTCTGTCTGTCAACTACTGCAGCTGGGCCAGGTAAGATTCATCCTTGTGTTTACTGCGGTAGGTAGTATTAATGGGGCTGCGCCATCCAGCCATTTTCCCACCCATCCTGCTTGCCACCCCTGAATCACCGACCTTTAATCCATATATAAATACATTTGCGATTACTCTGTGCATACTTGAGAGTACCACAACTCCCGTATGCACGAAGAAAAGATACTACAAGAAAACACGTTGTTCAGAGTACCTTGGATTTCTCTCCATGGTGGTTACACTACATATACCGATATCTCCATGGAACATTTCAAATCAGTGACTGGTTGTAACACTGCCCCTCTAACCCTTAATCCTGGAGACATATTTATCATTCGTACAGGTTCAATGTCCATTCGTCCGTTCTAGTCATCTTTCCAGCTTTTCACCATTTTCATCTTTCCATCTTTCCATTTTTCCATTTTTTAAACAGACCACCAAACATTTATATCAATTATCCACATCTTACGCCGTGTTCACTGGTTGCCGACACCAAGGTGTGGACCTCTTGGTGCCCCTTTCTCCTCATATGAACCAAAGTTTAGGGAGTCGGAACTGATTTGACAGCGTCCCAATCTACATTTCCACGTTGCTTCCCTGTACATGCCTTAGTTTACATGCATCTATGCCATATGGAGTACCATTTCCATGTGGTTATACTCCAAGCCTTGATACCCTTGGCATCCCTGTGTGAAGATTTTGAGACCTTACGTACTAAAACGGCCGTCTGAGGTTACAATGACAATGATGGTGTTGCTCATATCGTCAGCATCTACCACACACCTTGGGTGCATACTGTGCATTTTTTAGATTCTACGTCCTTGAGATACACGATGCGATACCACCTACCACACGGAATAGAGGACAAGTTGCTTAGATGCTTGAACATGCTTGGATGCACATGATGGAAAAGGTCGCGGAAGCCGATCAAACAGTATCAATGATTCATTATCAATATTGAAACTAAAATAGAAGGGCACCATCGCGTGCGAATAAATGGAGAATCTATTGAGTAAATAAGCAAGCATTCATATTGATATCTCAAACCTCATCCCAATGTTGCATATCATCTTTCCTTTCCTCTACCTTTGAATACATATAATTCATATTGGGATTAGAGATACAACGGAGTATCTACCTAAGTACCTACAGGCGACTACCTACACTTGTAGAGTACATCTGGGACAAACCCGTAAATATTATTCATCTTTGTTTCTGTCTCTTTTTCTCTCTTTTCCTCTCTTTATGCTTCCCGTACGCCAGCGTCAGTGCGTGCACCTACCTAGCAAGCCAATCTGTTTTTCATGCCCATTAGAGGATAGCAGACGATAGCAACCTTACCCTGAGGGTCCTTCAACAACTTCGGCATCAAAAAATTGAGGATCAAATCCTCTCTCGCTTTTCCCCTTCACTCCCTTCCCTTCCTGCACTTCCATTTCCTCTTCCTTCTTCAAAATCCATTCGCCCCACGCACTCCATCCATCCATCGCCAAACGGTCAAGCACCCACCACAACGAGTACATACTACATACTGATATATTGCGACGAATCCAATCGAAACGTAAGAGAATAATCCGGTCACAGTTACGGTTACAATTCTGTTTATTAAGCAGACTCACCTTCAAGGCATTTTTTTATTTTTTATTATTTTTTAATTCACTCAATATACCAAAAATAACTCGGGATAATATTTAGGAGGAGAGAGATATTGTGAGATATTGTAGTCTTACTACAATACTACTGGGTACTAGATAGTCAGTCTTACTACATACAGTACTGCCTATTCGGAAGAAATATTACGATTCAAATCAAAGACCGGAACATCCAACCATCAACCTCAGAATCAAAATCAAATCTTAGTCAAAAACCGTCATCAATTCTGCAAAACCTCAGAAGAAAACCATCGTCAATTCAAAAGAGTTAGTTAGTTACCTACTAGGTATTTATTTTATCTTATTTCAAACTCCGAATCCGTCAGCACTGATTACTTCTGCCGGCCTACCTAAATTAAAGTTGCCTCTACTCACTCACTCCCTCCCTAGTAGGTACTCCGTACTTTTCGATCCTCTTAAATCCCTAGTTCCCCGAGCGAGTCCAGATCCGTCGCCCATTTTGGTCTGCATATCTACCCACTAGACGACCTTCCCATCAAAGCCGCCCGCCGTCTTATCAACAGCGACCATCCCCGAATAATTTTAAAATTTGTCAACCCAGAGCGAAATCTCTCGTCTGTTGAAGAAAGAAACGCTCCCAAAGTCCCAGTTCCTTGGAAGCTTTCTATCTGACACTACTATTTGACACTACCGTACGCCGTACTTGAGTGGTTCTTCAACAACGATAAACAACAACACCATACTACCCAGTAACCAAATCAAATTATACAGGTACCTGCCCTTGCTTCAAGGTTATTCTTGGCTCACCTACCCTACCCTCACTCACTCACTCACCACCTCCCACTGCTATCAAACGACATATCTAATTCTCGTTAAACGTTATCATATTTTACCTACCTATCCTAGGTAATAATCTCAAATACATACTTTCATACCCCAGATCCTTAAACTCTTCTTCAATTACACCACACCATCGCCTTTGGCGATTAGAAAACATCATTCAAAATTGCTCCTCCAGTTTGGCCCTTTATGATGTGTTTCGGCAGCAGGGAGGATGTCGAGGCTAAGAGGTCTAAAGAGATAGACGCTCTTATCCACAAAGATGAGAAGATTATGCAACGGCAAGTCAAGTTGTTACTATTGGGTAAGTTGGTTGTCGCATCCTCCACAACTCGGTAGAACCACAATCAAATCAGAGCATTCGAACTCTTTCGAGCCTCACGATCTAAAGATGAGAATGATGCATGCTAATTATTACTATCGGCAGGTGCTGGAGAGTCTGGGAAATCAACTATTCTGAAGCAGATGAGAATTATTTACACTAAAGAAGGTTTTTCGAAAAACGAAAAGGAAGAATGGCGCATTATCATCTTTCACAACATCTTAGATGGATTGAGAATGACAGTAGAGGCGATGACTGATTTCAACATTCCTTTCGAGGACGAAAATACCAGTGTAGGTTTATGCGCCAACCCACTTTCATGTTTAACTATTAAAAAAACAATGGCTAATTTCATTCGTAGCAATATGTCCCTATGATCACAGAAGAAAAGGACCTTCGACCACTCGAACCAATCCCTTTCGAATATCTTAAAGCATTCAAAGATATGTGGGCGGATCCAGGTATACAAAAGGCCGTCGACAGAGGGAATGAGTTTGCTCTACACGATAATTTGGGCTAGTAAGTGTCCCTACAGCTCTGCGAAATCTACATTTCTAACTTATGTTCCCAGTTTCTTCGAGGATTTAGACCGTCTCTTCAGCAAGGAGTTCGTCCCAACGGATCAAGATGTCCTTCGTGCGAGATTAAGAACCACAGGTATAACCGAAACAAACTTCGATCTCGGATCCTTGCAATACAGAATGTTCGATGTTGGAGGACAAAGATCGGAACGAAAGAAATGGATACATTGCTTTGAGAATGTCAACGCATTACTATTTCTGGTTGCTATCAGTGGTTACGATCAATGTCTAGCTGAAGACAAGGATGGAGTAAGTCACATATCAGCTCCGCTGATCAATTTACGCCAGTAGCGACTAACACTATTCCAGAATCAAATGCAGGAAGCTTTAATGCTTTGGGAGTCAATTGCCAACTCTCATTGGTTCAAACACTCTGCATTGATCCTCTTCTTGAACAAGATTGACTTGTTTAAAGCCAAGCTTAGTCACAGTCCAATCACCAAGTTCGGCTTCTCCGATTTCCAAGGAGATACTACAAGCTGGCAACAGACGTCGAAATATTTCATGGACAAATTTGTTGCCTTGAACCGAAGCCCTGGACGTGAAGTTTATGGCCACTTTACAAACGCTACCGATACCGATCTCCTCAAGGTCACTATGAGTTCCGTGCAGGACATGATCATACAGAGAAATCTTCAAAAGTTGATCCTTTGATAATGAACCTCTGTCTGTTCGGAGCCAAGCCTTTAAGATTCCCCCTTCCAGCACAAGCACGACCCTCCCCCATCTGAGCAGCACAGAACCCCGTTATATAAATATGACCATTCGCTGCGGTGGTTATCATTTTCATCTTGAAAATATCGCATCGCATTCGCTTTTGGTCTTCATACAAAACGTCCCAGCGACGTTGGTCAAAAGTTCCATCTTACACCATATACGGAGCAAAATTTCTCTTCACCAAAATACCCACACTTCTTTTCACGTGTTTTATTCCTTTCTTTTTTAATTTAATTTCTTTTCATTTGGAGCAGAAGAGAGATTTTCCGACCATTTTCGAATATCAAACGGTTTGTATAATAAATTAACAAACCTAAATTTCTTCGCTGTTCACACACAATTTCTCTGTTGATCAGATAATCGGCGGCGTGCCATTCTACTTATACTTCTCACTTGAGGATGCACAGTACATACAACTCGCAGCTTGGCTTTTGTGTAATTTGGGATGAGTGATGGTGAAGGGAGTTTCAATTGCATGGTAGGGAGGGAATCAGAATGAAGGTTTCGATCTTTTAATTTAAGGATGGATATTTGATTGATTGGAATGAATAAAATGAATTTAGGGATGGGATCTCTTTCTGGGTGTTTCATGCTGTTAATGGATTGGTTACTCTTTCTCTAGTGGTCATTAGCCTCTTTATAGATTTTTGAGGAAGGCAGAGAGAATGGGTGATGGGGGGGAGTGAAAGGGTATGGAGCATGTGTCCAACTACACATTAAAGGAAACGATATGGAGTAGTGGTTGTGAAAAAATAGTAGTGAGCAGCGGTTAGCGGTGGTGGAGGATTAAAAATATGATTTGGAGCGAGCGATTGATTGATTAATAGAGAAATGAAATATATACCATTTCAACTTGTGTCTAGGTAGTTCATGATAGCATCTCTCTTCCCCCAGCCACCTCCTCTTTGGATTCTCTTTTTGGATTCTACCTCTCCCTCTCTCTCTCACACACTCTCTCTATCTCTCTGGATTCTATCTCATCCACTTTATAATTTATCTTAACCTAATATAATCTAACATAACCTAACATAATCTAATCATCTATTATTATACGAAACAAAATAGAACTTCCAGCTAGATAGATAAATAGATCCCCTTGCAAATTTTATAAGTTGTTTGGGAAACTAGGGATTTAGGGGACTGGGGTATGGGATGTGGGATGTGGGATATGGGATGGATTTAGGATTTGTGTGTATAGTAGGTATTTAAATGTATTTTAAATATACTTTAAATGTACTTTAAATGTACTTGTATATATAAGGGGTTGTTTTGATGTGGTTGGGGGGTGAGAGTGAGAGAGAGGGAGTAGGAGTGGGAGTATGAGAGATGGAGGAGATGTGGTTGGTGGATATGGGGGTGGATATAGGGTGTGGAGGGGGAGAGGAGGGGGGAATAGTGTGAGGGGAGAGTATAAGAGGATAGTTTAAAATAATAATATAATAAGCTAATATAAGGGGATTAAGAAAATAGGTTATGAGAGTGGAGAGGGAAAAAAGTCGAAGGAAAGACTATATAATACTAAATTTCTATCTGTATCAATAGTATAGTATAGATTTATAATTGAATCATCTAAATATTGATTAACTCGAATTTGATATTAATGAATATTAATCGTGCTGATATAGGGGCTTAAAAATAATAAGAGGAGACTCGAGATAATATATAGAATTTCCGGGGTGAGGAAATAGAATAATGTCACGATTCATTAATTCACGTGACCTCGAGGACCTTTTGGACCTTAGGGTCCCAAGGGTCCTCAAAAGATGATATAGGGTATATAAACATTCATTTAGTCTCGTGGTTAAGGAGCTTCGTGCTCAACTTAGTTATCAACTAGTTACCTACATTCTACTTGATCTAGTAACGACTTCACTTCCAAGTGAAGACCAGTGATAAAGCCTTAACCCACAACTACCAACCAGACGAAACCTTAGGCAGCCGCTGCCTCCAGTATAGTATCGTTACAAATAAATGATTATGATATTCTAAAGATATAATAGTGGGTGCAGAAATTCCATAAGCAAGTATAATTCTGTGAAAAATCAAAACTCATCATTTTCAAATTAATATTATTCAATATCTATATAATTATAATATATTATTTAGTGAAATCTTATTATTATATAAAATAAAAACTTGAATGAATATATCTTTTATATATAAGAAATTTTCAAATCTCTAAATTTTATAATTTTTAAAAAAAGATAATATATATTTAATATAAATCTTTTTATATTTAATAACAATTAATTAATAAATTTGAGATATATATTTAAAAAATTTAGAAAATTATTTATTAATATTTTATATAGTAATTTGGATAAAAATTTCAATATTTTATATAAATTTCAATTATAATCTTATAATATTAGAAATTAAATTTATAATCTTTTTTTTTATAGAAATTACTGATATTTTATTGATTTTGCCAGTGATGAGGATTGAAAAAGTGCTTATAGAATTTTTGTATCTACTGTTGATATTCTAAAAAATAAAGAAATTATCAAAAATATTGAGATAAAGATAAGTAAGTATTACTCATTTTATTCATTGTCTAAACCCAAACACGTATCCATCATCTATAAATCCTGAAACTATAAACCACAAGCCACAAAATCAACTCAATAAAGTTTACCTACTTACCTACTCCTCACCAAAAGCAAAACCTCACATACCATCAAAAAGAGTTAATTCCCCAAACGGCCACACAATCCATCAAGCGGCTCCTTATGATTTATCCACCCAAAATTGCGTATCAGCACATGTTAAATCACCGTTCCATTCCCATCTAGATGTGTACTTTGATCCCCCTCATTGAATAATGATTCTTTAATTTTTAGTATCCCTAATATATTCTATAGGATATGATTTCATAAGTTCTCTTATATAGCCCTTTTTCCTCATCATACTTATTTTCTTATCAATATCTCGTATTCCGTTTCCGAAAATACTCAAAAGGGCCATTAGGGCGAAAGAGTGGAGCACTGAGAATTCCTACTATTTCTTGTTTTCCTTTTCCTTCTTCTTTTTCTTTTTCTTTTCCCCCTTTGCTTACTTTCTCTCCCCTTCCTCCTGTTTCTGTATCTCTCTCGCTCATCTTAAGATATCCAAGTATTTGTTTCGTAATTCCTTGATTTCGGTATTGACGATGTAAGCATAATTGGGTTATCCATAGCATATTCTGACCCTGGTGTTTTCAGCGCGTAGCGAAGAGGTGGCCGATGGTTGTGGAGGAAGAGGAAGAGGATGAGAGGAGACGAATATGAATGTGTGTGTAGGTTGTTTAATGAGGGGGGGAGGAGTTGAGAGCGGAGCTTTCGGGGGGGTGGGTGATTTTTATGTGGGTTCCTGGGTTTTAGAGTTAGGATTGGGGGATGTGGGATGAGAGATGAAGGTTGTGGGATGAGGGGGTCGAGATGAGAGTTTGAATGGTTAAACGTCAGAAATCCAAATGATCTAAGATCTTCAACCTATCGAGAGGATCAATCCAATCCAATGCAATCCAATCCAATCCATTTAAAAGATTAAACCGACATGTTTGAAAGATCAAATCCACCTGAAAGATCTACTCAACAATTCACTCGAAAGATTCAAAATTCAAAATTCAAATTCAAAATCCACCCCATTCCAACTAACAAACCCCCATCAAGACAAGCCAACCACCAACCAACCCAAACCCTAAACCCACTTCAATTATTCAAATTTAAATTCATCACCCGCCACCTTTCAAACTCCAAACCACAAACTTCAGACCACAAACTGCAAAATCATTCCCTCAATAAAATCACAAACCTCAAAATCTCAAAACCTCAAAACCTCAAAAAAAAAAAAGTAAAAATCACCCCACTAACCAAACTCCCCACCCATCATCATATTCTCCCTAGCCTTCAAACCCCAAACCCCATAATTTTCACCAAAAAGTTTTGCGGCCTCTCCTATTTAATTTATCGCTAAAGTGGATGTTTCTTCGAATTTTTCGATTGTGAGGATTGGTGAGGAATAAGAAGGAGTAGAAGTAGAAGAAGCAGGAGGTGGCATTTTTTGTATTTTGTGATTTGTGTGCTGGGATGGGATGTGTATATGAGCTAGTTGGTTGATATTTGAGATGAGAGGGAGGAGTCGAAGAGAAGAAGGTAATCGAAGAGAGAGAAAATAAGATTGGAAAGAGAAGAGAATAGAAGATGATTCATATATAGTACCTAGTACCTATTAGTAAAATAACCATCTAGACTATTTAGTGACGATATAAAAACTCACAAAGACTAAGACTACCTAGTAGCCAACTACCTATCTACCTGACACCACCTCAAACTTTAAAACTTTAAAATCAAGCCAGCATTAATCCCCGGTATAAATGAAAATATTAAAAATGACAAAAAAGGAATTTTAGTAATCTCACTTCGTAATAATCATTTAAATCTTCCAAATCTTCATGATCCATTGATTTGATCCACCCTATCCATCCTCCCTCCCCCCACGATCCTCTTCCCAAATCATCAATCATCCTAATCTATAACTAGGGTAGGGTAGGAACAGTAGCTCAATACCAATACCCAAAATCAACCTTCAATACCAACTTCAACGACCACACTACACTACCTATAAACAACACAATCCTTCCCATACCATACTATCTTAACCATACCAACTCACCCAACCCACTATCCTAACATAAACATACCAAACACCCTCCCCTTTTTACTCCATTGAAACCACATTATGCATATTATGCACAGCCAAATCCATCCCATCCATTCATTTGTAAAATCTTACAACACAAACTAAAACTAAAGAAGAAAAGAAGCAAACTTGCTATCCTGTTATCCTACTATGCTATTTACTATATTACGCTTCTATTCAGTGTACCAAAAAATCAAAGAATCCGCATAAAAAAAAGAAGGCAAAAGTAAAATAAAATAGAATAAAAACATGACAAAAGGCGCTTATCATCATTCATTCATTCATTCATTCATTCAATGTTCCATTTCTCCCTCTATTCATTTCCCCACCCATCCCATCTCGCCTAATTCCGCATTTCAACCTTCAATGATCTAGTTGAGCAGGAAGGGGACCCAATGTGGTTATGGATTCTTTCACCACAATACATATCAATCAATAATTGCATTGATGAATACAGGTAAAACTACCTCGCACTTCCCTCGGGTAAAATCCTACTTAAACTCCTCAGTACCTCCACCATTGGCACATCCCTCGTCCCTACTAATTCCCTCTCCCTTCTCTCCCTTTCATCCAGCCTCACTGCACTTAACGCCAATATCTTATCTGCCACTCTTCCTACTGTTTCCCCATATCTTTCAATTTTATGAATTCCGTCTACAAAGCGATCCACTTTTCCTTCAATTTCTTGATGGATGGTTTTTAATCTTTCCGAGACATTTTCGCGTAAAGATAAAGATGGTGAGGAGTTTATTAGAGAGAGAATGTCAGATTGTTCGGGGTCGAGAAGTGTAGCATCTATTTGAGAAGGTGAGAGGGGATTTGTATCTGCATCTGTATTGGGAAAGAGTGGTGGAAGTGGCGCTGGAGGCTTTTTGAAGGATATCCATTGCGCTTTTTCTATTTCTAGTCTGGGATTTGTTAGCGCAACGTTTAAGTTTTAGATAGATAGAATCATACTGTTTTACTCGAGCTTCTAACGCTTGTATGTTTTCTTCAGCCTCGATGTTTTTAGGATTGGGCTTTTTGACCACTTTCGTTATCCTGGTTGGCTGTTTTTCTTCCCGATCGAACCAGTTCGAAAAGGTAGAATTGGTACCAAAATCTTTGAGAAGAGCTTCCGATATTGCCCTCGCTGTACTTAATTAGTCCTTTCTCCAGACTTCCCATGTGACTAAAGTACTCACCTGCCAATTTCGCACCACTATCCGGATCGCCATGCGCGGGTTTTTCCGGTAAAGCTCTTTCGCCCGTCCATGTCAAAAGTTGTTTCATCCTCCTCGGTTCAGGTAACCCATCCTCAATATGCTTATAAAATTGCGAGGTCTCGACCTCTTTATGGGGTATCGCACTGTACCCACTATCAATGAGTGAACTTGCCCTCCTCCCACGCATACCTAAACTACTCCTCCTCTGACCTGTCCCGGCCCTTCTTTCGTAATTCCTTATTTCGATTCATGATGGTGTATCGCTAAATGGTAGGGCGATGACCGTAGAATGCGTATTATTAAGGGCTTCTATAGTCGACCTAGTTGATTCCTCTGGTACTGGTGCACCATCGATCCATGTCGGATACTGTTAATCATGATCCCCTGCTTCCCATTCGACGAGTATTTTCGGTTTCCATTCTGAAATTTTTCGGTCGATAAACGCGTACTTTTCCTAGTCCCTCGTTTCGGTTCGACTTCACTCCTGGGTTTCTGCACCTTCTCTACCCTCGATTCTTTCGGCGTAGATAAGTTGGTTTTCGGTGCACCTCTCGTTTTCTTAACAGGCGGCGATGACGCCGATGTAACACCATGGGTTTCGCGCTCATGAACTACCTTCTTAGTCCTCCTAGGTACCGTCGTTGTTACAGGCTGTACTGCCTCCGGTATTGGATCCGGTACGGATGCCGTGGTCTTGGCCTTTTTTGATATACGCGTGAATTGAAAATCTCCATCTTCCTCCTCATATCCTATTCTTTTTGTCAGTAACTTCTTGGCCAATGCGCAAAAAATTCCTCCTTCCTTCATTCCCCCCGCCTATCATCACATATCCAAACAGTAAGAAATATCGAAACCCACCAGCTAATCGTTTACTCCTTCTTCTTCCCGCAGGTTGTTGGTTCATTCTCAACGATTCTAGGGGATTTCGAGCTCGTACAAGGGTAGTCATTGATGTTTAGCAGCGCATCTGCTTTCTTGGATTTCTCGTTGTCGGGGCGATAGTTGCTTTGAAACTGGTGAATTAGGTATATTTCGCGCGATTATTTCGTGTGTCTTCGCGTCAATCGATAGATGTCGGTATTCGAGGTTAGATAAATCTAGGTGCAATTCGTGGGGATCGTGGGTTGCTGGGTATGAACGGTTGATTATTGTAGCTGGTAATGTAATGGGGATTCAATGTTTACATTTCGCTAGCGCCGGAACAAATAAATCATGTGATGTGACCAATGCCGAGAGATCATAGGATTTCTCTTTTGGATGTGTTTAAATTTGTATGAACTTATTCTCAATCTATGACTATAGAAGTTAAAATACTATAAATTTTACCATCCATCCCCACAAAAAGGAAAGAGTCTAATCAAATAGTCTCTTTCCTTACAAGAACAAAATATACTATCAAACTCTCTTCCAAGCCTCTTACAAATTACCATATATCCATACTCAAACCACAATTTCCGTTCTTCACACACAAAGATCTAGAGTTCGTACAAAGTAATTATTGCAACCTTTCCCCTTCTTATTCGAACCCTCCAAATCCAAATCCGAGGTCGATGATCCCAATAAATGCACAGGGAGAAAAGCACTGGATCTTTTCCGCTAAAGGTGTATTCCATATTTTGTCAATAATTAGTACCTACTATTCAATCATCTTACCGTCACGTCACGATACTGCATAAAATCTCATGATTCTGTTATGATTTGCAAGGTAAAAGTATTTTGGATAGGCATAGATTTAAGAACTCTCTCTATGTACCTACATACAGCAAAATTCACATTGAAAGTTACGAGGACGGATAAAAACATGGCTGTAATTATCACATCTATGAGCCATCCAAAATCTATCTATATGTGTAAACGATGTCTAAAACAAAACTTAATAGAAGAGAAGAGAAGAAAATAAAGGGTTCGTTGTCCAAAGAAGTCAGATAATCTGCGATATCCCTCTCTTGCGAGAATAGATCTTCCTTTCTATCCTTTTCTTAACATGATAAATAATCTTATATCTAACCCCCTGTCTCTATCTCTAATTCATTATTGCAACGGTACTCCAAGTTTAACCGAAATATTTCCAATTGAAAGAATCCTACATCAGACGATCTAGTGCAAGTGTCCGATGATAAAGTGTTCAATTATTGCCATGAAACTGGTGAAAGGTAAGCTCATCAAGGTGCCCAGTGGGTACGTAACCAGTCCCAAAACGAAATTGGTTGAAAGTTGACTAAAGCGTTCAAATTGACCTGCGAAAAGTCGTATCTCCTCTGCTCAGTCGCTATCAACTCTTGTATCCGACTGACTCTAGCATGATCTTGGTAATAAGCTGTTTCTTGAATCTTTGCCGCTAGTGCTGGAGCTGCGATTATGGTTGTTGTGAATGGCTCTACCAATCCATAGCATTAGTTTTAGCTGACTCATCAGAAACACCGATCAATACTTACGTCCTTTGGCAGCCTCAGCATACTGCACAAGCTCCATCACGGTTTTCCGGTCACCCTGCATTCTAAACTCTGTAGGCCACATGTGTTGGTCTAAATCAAGTGCTGCTGCGATGAACCTCGCCACATCATATACCGACGTCATGGAAATTGACACAGGTTGTCCTGTATTATTATATTCCACAATTTCAGCAGCGTTGGTCTCAATATTCATTAGGAAAGAGCCTGGATATCCGAGTGCAGTTGAAGTGCTTATACCCATTGAAGCTAGACCTCCTCGGGCAAATCGTTCATATAAAACTCCACAGCAAAACACAGTATATTGCATTCGATAACGACGGTGTTGAGCCCAATGTCGAAGCCTTTCGATACTTGCAGCTCTTCCACGATCTAAGGGGTCATTTGTTGGTCGCCCTTCAGGCTTGTCTTGGTATTCTGCGGGGACGAAACGTTGGACACGGGAATGAGCGGCAGCGTCAATAAGGTTGATTTGAGGGGTCCCAGATACCGTTGAAATGACAATATCTATCCCTCGAAGATGGAAACGAAGATCATCCTGATTTTCGTAGTTGACTACAGTCACTTGGTAGCCCAGTGACTCTAGATCTGGTCGAGCCTAATGGCATGGTCAATTTCCGTTCCAAAAGCAGAGAGCTCAAGTCCGCTAACCTGTCTTGACAAAATGATAAATGGATTTACCGTCTCGTTGATGTAATGAGCGAAAATCTGGGCTAAGCCGCCAGAGCCTGCTATTGCAATACGCATGCTGCTGTTTACCTTCTCATTGTCGATTACTACCATGTTTGCGTATTTAAGAGAAAACCACAAGAGTTCAAGAGGATTTGGATTCTTCAAAGTTAATTCGAAGCAGCAAAAAATAGAAGGCCGGGCAATCCTGTAGCCACGAGGGGTAAGTAGCCATCAGGGCCGAGGAGGTCATAAATCATTTCATGAAGTGAAGAAATTTCTGGAATATAACTGGATATAATGGTGATATTTGTGGAATTTCCTAGATATTTATAATGGGTTTGATGCTTATTTGCTACAAAATTAGCACAGGATGAGAGAAGGGCGATGCAATTTGAACACTAGAATGACGCAGGTTGTAAGTTGACACACCGGGATCCTGGGCGAGTTAGCCGTCCAGGAGTGGGAGTGAAAGTTAAGTTTAGGGAGTTGATTTCAAGATCGGAAGGAATTCCCTTCCATATAATTGTTTTCAAGCCTTGTAATATAGCTCTCCAAGAAATGCGCGAGGTGAGACGCCGCAGCCCACCTATAACCAAATAACCAACAACAGCCGGGAAAGGTTGGTGACGATGACACATAAACGTAGAAACTACCTGGCAGAATCTGATATGGTGGATGGCTATAGCCAAACTTCTGGCCGCAGGCCGCGGTCGTCGCATTCAGCACGAAATACGATTTACAGTAAGATTACATCTAGAATCTACATAAAAGTTTTTTCCCAGAGATCTTGATTCCTGATCCTTATCTGCATTACTGGCCAACGATAAACCAGCAGAATGCCGGCTGTGAAAGGCCGGACGACGTAGTGCCACCCATGCTTCAGTGGTGTGGAAAACATGCTTTCCTAAGAAGCGTGGGACATCAATAATAGAGAACCGCTAGGAATGTGTGAGTGTCCAGCCGGAGTAGCAATCTGATGAAAGCCTACGGAAATTTCGATAATAGCAAGTCAGCTTGCGACAGTGAGGAGTTCATCCGGATCACGATGGATCATGATCATTGGCTCACTGAAATTCGAATGTCTCATGGGATGTCTAAACCCCAAACCGGGACGAAGCCGGTACTACCATAGGCCGTCCATGGCCACAGGAAATGAGAGATACGCAGTCATCCCATCCAATCTGCCATTAAGCATACTTATGGGCTTGCGGATGCATTTACGAGGGACATATGCAGGTCAGACACATGCTCAAGTACAAGTAGAGCGCGAACGGGAAGGCAGCACTGGACAGTCACAAAGATATTCTGTCCTTAGATATCTAAACAGGAAGATCCTAAGGACCCCAGAGGATGTAAAAATAGTGAATGAATTTTGCTGAAGAAAGAGCCCTGCAATTTTGATGTGGTTGAATATCACTGGGGGCCATGGAGGTAACAATAAGGGGTCTTGAGACATAATGATGGAAATAGTCTAAAAATACAGAGTTTCGAGTCAATCCAAAAATTTTCTAATCACACATGATGGAATGGACTTTTGGAGATGTATAATCGATTGGATAGTTTGCGAGTAGATTGTGGCTGCTGTTGTGTTTGCGAATTTCTCTGTAAGGCTGAAAAGATGAAGTTTTGATCGTTCATGCAAGTCGCTACATGGAGGTGGTTGCCGAAGAAGCTAGGTTATTTATTGGTGAATGTGATATAGATTTAGCCAGTGTATTATGTCAGATTTTACTTGACGACTGCCAGTTCAGGCTTTTGATGATCTCTACTTCCTCTATAGGCAGGTAAACGAGCTCGAGGCCTTGTAGTCAAGGAAGAATTGTTGAGCTGATCAAAAAAGAAAGTTTGAGAAACATGAAGACTGTAGGGAGGCAGATGATTTTGAACGAAAAGGAAGACTGAATATTTCATGTACAGATGTTGAGCTCTTACATGTACAGTTGATTTTTGGAGGTTGCAACGATCACGTGGATGTTCAAATTGTTCATATGCTACAGCCAAAGAGGAGTAATAATCCATGCCTTCCTTCCCTGAGGTGCTTCAAAGTTCGTAAATATCAACAAATAAGATCTTACAATGATTCTACAGGTTCTTTGAATCCATCTAGAAAGGATAAAAGCTCTCAAAACTGAGAAAACTTAAGGTTACACTAAACTCGCTTTGTTTTACTGGAAATACTTACTTTGCTACAATCAACTTGTTTTCCGCGAGTGTATCACCCGCTACTTGACTAACTAACAACAGCTTTGCATTTGGCAGAAGACTAATTATCATCTGATCTCAATCACAATAGGTAAATCAAAGAAAACGCCAAGTCATAACACCAACATGGAGCCTCTTGGTTCCCGTGCCAATGATTCGTCCTACAGCTCTAGCTCAGTTAAACAAGAGCAGGATAGTGAGTACCGTCCTCGCTCTCGGCCACCATCAAGAAACCGCCAAAGTTTTCGTCGCATCAGCTCTACTTCCAAAAGCCCTGGTAGCCACTATCGTCGGCATGCTGAATGCCCTCAGTTTTCAAATCACTATCGACTACGCTCTCGAAGTCCCAAGTATTCCCGCGACGCTCATGTCCGTTCCAGAAGTCCGCACAGCTCCCACCGCTCTAGCTCATATCAAGAGGTTTCAAGCTCCAATTTTCATAGATATCAATCTCCTCGTCATAGACGTACTCCTAGTGATAGGGACGTTGCAAGTAGCTCTTATTACAGGCCATCGTATACAGTACGGCATAGGAGCATACCGTCTGAGTCCAAAGGCCAACCTCTTTCTTTTATGTCGACGTACAACCTGGGGGAGTCTCCAGATAACGAGAAGGTACTTTCTTACGCATCCCATTATATAAACTATTGATAGTTCCCGCTTTTAAATTTTAAAGACAATAGTTGCGTAGTCTTCGAATGAACTTGCTAGTGGCAAGCAGAAAGAATTTATGACTTCTGCTCTTAATCCTAATAATTCATCAAGTCCCATGGAAGAATTATGGGTGGAGGTTGCCAGTCGCAAGCATAAATAATTGATGGCAGTTACAGCAGCTAAGAAAACCACTTCCATTCAAAGTCCGCTCGCCGCCCCCGCAGAAGGATCACAAATTGTGAGGCAATCAACAGTTTTTGAACGATCAACATCGACGGTGAACGCTGCTTCAGTCAATTCTGTTAGAGATGTAAGATACTCCTTGAGCGAAGGAACAAGACCAAGACAAGCGGAAGGTTTAGACATCCAACGCCAAATATCATCCCTTTTATATCCTCGCAAGCCAAAAACTCTGCCTCCATCATCATTCAACCCCAAGGTAGGTACTGAAATGAATGTCAAGAAAGAAGACATCAGCCCTCTCACTTTATTTGAATTATCCGCCAAGCATCCAAGCAGTTCTTCAACTGAGTCCATGCATATGCTGGCGCAAGAGATACATCCCCGAAGCGATTTTCTTATGTCTGCAGCAAATCAAGGCATTCATCCGTCGAGACGATTCCTTCTCAATCTTTCCCCTCCGCCAATCCAGTCCCCACAAAACTTACATATACAGGCTGACTCCCGAGTTACTATTTCATCTCCAAAAATTAGAATTAACACAGAGACTCTCCAAACGAAGATTCAAGAGCTTCGTCGCGCTTCTTCCGCAAGTGAGTCACTAGCTTCCATTGCGTCATTTCTACTCCACAACTAATACCAAGCCTTAGTATAGGCAAAAGACCTAGACCGATCCCAAGCGTCATGGACGAATCCTTTTTCACCAATAGCCCCTTCCAATCAGAGCCCTATGTAAGCGTATCCTTAAGTGGACAAGAAAAGTTGAATAGATAGGCTAATATCACATTTTGAGAGGTAGGCTAACGAGCCGGTGATCCCGACTCACTGGCAGGATTAAGTCATCTACCAGGCAATCTTGATCAAAACTTCTGTTATTCTCTTCACATGATATGCGGAGCCACTTCAAATATGGGCTAGAGTTTCCTTCCATTTCACATAATAGCCGGTTGTTATATAAGGAGAGTTGGTGTCTCTAGTGGATGCGAAGGAGAATCGGATGTTAGGACGGATATGCTGACTTTACGGAGCTTTGAGATACTCAGACACGGATGGTATAGCAATTGGGATGCACTGGTATTCATTGGTGTTCGGATTCTTGATTTTGTTCCCTCAATGAGAACACCTTCGAAGTTCAGGTGAAGTTGTTACTCGCCAATTCCCCATTTCGTTTTCTTCCCTCAAGCTTTCTACAGGCCGTGGCCAGAGTCCGAGCCATTTTTCAACTTCTAATTTTTCATTTTATTTCTTTTAAACTTCATGTCTTCACCCATCTCTTCGCTTCGAGCTAATCTTACAATTGCATTAAAATCATCAACATTTACACAGAAGTGTCATTGCACTTTTAAAATCAATTTATAAATAGCTACTCATACATTAAACCCGACCATATTCCACAAAGTACCATGACCTAACTTCCGATTCAATTCAATTCGATTTGGATGAATGCATGCATGAAGAATCCACAGGATCTTTCCACAAGCACCACTGCTAACAACAATTTCAACGCCCTCGCTTAATTTCCGTACGATATCAATAATAAACTCCTACAACGTTTCTTTAACTCCGTATTGTATCTTTCCTTCCTTGTAATTTCAGACTTGGGTATCTTCTTTTCTTTTCTTTCCCTTTTCTTCTCTTCGACGACAACAATAACAACAAAAGAAAACATAGAGAGCGTGAGATCTCACTCACTAGTATCCAACCTATCGTATTCATCCCTCGACTCATAACCTCATATTCGTCCTCATACTCGTACTCATCATACTCATACAAAATCACAAAAGGAAAAAAGAAATAAAAAGTTAAAAAGTCAAAAGTTAAAAAAAGAAAGACAGAAAAGAAAGAAAGATAAACGAAAAAAAAAAAGAATATGTACTAATATATCCCGAAGAAATTGTCCAACCCAACCCAGCCCAACATAACCTAACCTAGATCCAATCCTTTTCTTATCCTTTAATCATTCCTTCGTTCCCAGAAGCCTATATTTCTACATACTATTCCTACATATCTCTCTTTCTGTACGCGAGTACTTCTTATTCATTATCAAGAAATAGAAATTCGCACTATACGAATACTATTTATTGTACACTGAGAAATAAATCATTTCCCCTCCTCGTGGGTGTTAACTTTGGTACCCAGCCAGGTGTCTTGGGTAGACCTGGATTGTCTGCGTTGGTATTTATAGTGATTGCTTGATTGGATCCATCGTTTCTGAAGTTTGTGATTGATCTGCCATTTACGTTTGTGTTTGTATGGGTATTGGTGTTGGGATCTTGGTTGAAGTTGAAATCCGAGTTGATGTTGGATATAGCATGGGGATTAGCAGCTTGATCTTGATCTTGACCTTGGGCTTTGATGTTGGATATTGTGGTCATTTGTGTAAGACGTGGATCGTAGGTGAAATTACGGGTTTCTTGACTGTAGATGGAGGATACTTCGGGTTCTTGAATGGATGGGTTTGGGAGTATGGGTTGGGATTGAAGTTGGTTCTCGGTTTGGTTGTCGAGGTTGATGGTGTTTTTGTTGTGTAATGATTGAACGCTGTCTTTTCGCAAGATGCCTGTGAGGATTTGTGGACGCCAATGAGGGGATGGGATGGTGGGTGAGGTTTGTTGTGGAGGAGTGATGGTGTTGCTGTTCGTGCTGGTATCGTCGTTGTTGTCAGGAAGAACTCTCCATTTACTTTGTGATCGATTGGTATTTGAATTTGAAGTAGCAGCAAGGTTCAATGGGGGAGGCGGTGCGTTTCTTTTACCGCTACCTCCACTCATATTTCCAGGACTTATATCTCTCTGTCGAGTATTTGGTGGTAAGGGTAATGGGATCGGGGGCGGAGGACTCCTTGAAGTTAAAATAGTGGGGCTGAAGAAATCATTGCTTTTGCGAATTGTGATAGATGAGTTGTGAGAGCCGGGGGCGAGATGGTTACCAGGTGATAAGCCAAGAGATGTCATTCGTAATTTCTGGGCGGCGATCTCGGCTTCTTGCCACGGCTTATTACTGTACGTCGTCGGGGGACAGACGGGTGACTCGATGGAGATGGGCGGTGGAGCGGGAAAATTGGTTATTATTGACGTGCGGGTGCGGGAGCGGTTGCGTGAATGTCGTTGGCTCAGGTTGCCTTTGATTTTAGGGTATTTAACGGGAGATTTACCAGTAGCGCTTAGGCTGCCCGATGGAGATTCGACGACAGGACTAAGGTTATTGTCGCCAGAGAGTTCTTGGAGCTCAGGATTGATAGAATCTATGGTTTCGAATGATGTCATCGAACCAATAGATGTTCTGGAGGTGCGGTTTTGATCGTGTGGTCCGGCGGGATTGTGCGCGGATTTCCGAAGGACGCGGCGAAATGAGGGATTAGATTGCACGAGAGAGTTTAGCTTGTCAACTTCATTTGACGAGGGCTGACAAATTTGGGATCTTGCCGAGTACACAGACGATGTTGCTGTGAGAGGATCCTTGACAGATGGATTGCGGCTGACAGGTTTCATTGTATTTTCAGGCCGGCGAGGTTGTGAGAAGTTCCTTTGGAGATTAAGGGGAGGTACGTAGAAATCAGGTTCTACCAAAGGATCCTTGTAGGAATTGATGATACTTTCGGTTTCATTTGGCGAAAGTTCGCCTTGGAGGCGAGGTGACCTATAGTGTGCAGGGTCAGGCTGCCGGGGAACCGCTTCTTTAGACATGAAGCCATAGGAGGCAGCATTCCACGGTGCTTCAGATGCTACAGCGGTGCTGCATGTATCTTCATCCTCGAATTGCGTAGCCGCAGATTGCCGATTGTTACCGGCGAAGGTTGATGATTGTTGATAGGGAGCAGTGTGGATATTGTTGGAATTTTGCTGGATAGGAACTTGCAGGGTGAGGGTCGGTCTTTCGGGTAAAAGTGGAGAAGGTCCACGTTGGAACACTTCTTCAGTATAACCCATAGGAGCTAAAGAATTGTTTTGGGGGCTTTCGGAGGTCATGGCGAGGCCAATGTTTTCCGGGATAGCATTCCTTTGGGAGAAAGGATCGGGGCTCGGTTGGCCCCCTCTTGGATGCATTCGAGCCCCCAAAAACGGCCCTATTGGTGTTGGTCCTCGGGTCGAAACGGAAGCCGGCGATGGTGCTATTGGTTTCGTTATTCCGAAGTGTGATTGAGATTTAATGCTCATTGTAGGCTCTTGTTGAAATGGGAGGTATCCACTATCACGATTTGCCTGCCTTTTCCGCCTCACACAGGCAAACAACAATATAACTACAACTGCCAAGATCACCCCACCAACTCCTGCTACCACAATCCCAGCTATTTGGCCGGTTGACAAAACTGGTTTGCTCTTCTGTTGTGATGGAGTGACACTCGTGGCAGCTGCTGGCTGTGGCACTGCCGTCGATGATTTCCCATCCGTAGTTGAACTTGGAGTAGTTGGTGATGCACTTGTCCTTAGAGTTGTGGCCGTTGAACCACTAGCACTTGTCGTTGCTACCGGGGCAATTTGTACTATGCTTGCAGAGCCGGATTGTAGAACTAAAGTTGCTGTGAGAGTGCTATGTGTATTCGGTAGTGCACTCTTGTCAGAATTGCACATCTCATATGCTTTTAATACTGTATTATCTGCCATACACATCAGAAAGATTCATCAAGCCAACCTCGACAACCACTCACTAGAAGAATCATCCCCATTACAAAAGCCAACACTGGCCTCTGACATTATACATTGTACCGCTCCCTCTCCCACGGTATATGTAGACTTGCTGCTATTTTCACATAGGCAATCTAACGTAGGGGTGTCGCCACAAACACTGGTCGGATAGTTGTCTTGTACAAATGACTCAAAGCAGACTTGTGCGCACGAAGGTATAAAACTTGTTATTTGAGATGTTAAAGAAAATTCCGCATTAACACAAGTCGACAATGCGTATATGAGTAGGAGGAGGCTCGATGGTAACATTGCCATTCTCGGAAACACTGTAGGAGGGTGAATGTCAGCATTGTTTGTGTATATACATCTCCCAAATGCTTCTGAATATTTCAAAACTTTCATGGGCTTGTAATCATCGAGGTTGTTGAGGTCATAGTTCTTTGAGTCACTCAGTCTGTTGGACACGGAAGCTCCAAGGCGTGGTCTCGAATCAGGTGGCATATGTATAAGGAGTAGGAGAGCCAGAAATAGATTCTACTGACCTCAAAGATGGGAAATAAAGCACTTTTCGAGTCGTCCAGCGTCTCATCCATAATTACAATACGAATCTAACTTCAAAGAAATTCATGGCAGTGATGATACTAGTAGAAGAAAGGAAACAAGGAAATCAAGGAAAATTCGACAGTAAGGAGATATGTGAGAAACAGAAGGAAAATATGAAATAATGATGTAGAAAATTTCCATCAGGAGATCTCAGCAATATGCTCGCAGAATACCGAATACACCCCGCAATACTACCTTGAAAGCCAATAAAACTTTTCCAACAGCTGGCTTATGGCCATACACATGGCGTCACGATTCTCGAGGTACGAATCGTGGAACTGCATGATACTACCGCTGGACTCAAGATACATAGCCGCTGCCATAATAGGTGACCCCATGTTTGATGTGGTGATAAGCCTCATTACCTGTATGGTGGATGTTGTCTAGTTCTGCAAGTAAGCGCTGAAGAATGACCCTGGCGGTTACAAGGTTAGATTGACACGTGACTTGACGTTGAATCGGATTGAAAACGACGATTGCAGCATTAGTGATTGCAATGGAGATGCAGAATATAAGTGCAAAAGTAGGGCCAAGTATGGTCCATTGCCATCTATCTTTTTCTACACACTATTTACCATGAGTAAAGCTGTTTCGAATGAGGTATAAATAAGCATATTAATAATTTAATAGAAAAAGCGATGCCAAACTAGAGCTAGAGCTAATCATCAACATTGAGATTCCCGAATCATTTTACCCACTTAATTAGATGCGGGTATGATTGGAGACTTCAATGTAGACCCAGAATAAGTTCATGCATGATAGGTTAATGGCTGAAAGCAGGAATGTTCAACAATCCCATTGTTCTTCGTAAAGTCCGGGATACGAAGTACTACGCCAGTATTATTTATTGTTCAACGATTCATTGCATTTGATACGTGTCAAATTCTGATTTATATTTTGATTCTGATTTCTTTTTCTAAATCTTGCTGCAGTTTACTAGATACTGTCTCCACTGCCTTTCCCAATACATCACGTTGCAGCTATTTTAGATTAAATCATTCATTATGGTCATTTCTTCGTAATTCATCCACGATTAGAATTTCAAAGGCACATCTCGCGGCTGTGTCTGCAGCCCAGAACAATCCCAGCTTGAGTGAATCCATTGTTAAAAAATATCCTCGTAAGCAAATTGAGCCTCCCGGTCTAACATGAGCTTATGCATATATGCAAACGCCCGCTTTTCCCCCAATTTTGTGTGTAAAAGCAAGCGAGCGCAGGAAGAGATATGGATGGTTGAAGGATCTATATATAGGATCCATATAAAAATAATCAAGCCCGTAAATTGGTACCAGCACGGCTTGATTTAATGACTTTCTTCACAATTTCCTCCGTCTCGTCCCAATCATCCTGGTTGAGCTTGATAAGATCAATGTTATAATGATGTGCGATTTTGTTAAGTGCATCATAACTCTTTCTGTCGAAAACAAAGCTGATGCTGACACCGACACGTCCGAATCTTCCGGTTCGACCAATACGGTGCAGATAGGTCTCTGGATCGGGCTCGAAATCAGATCGACCCTTCATAGGGATGTCATAGTTGATGACCATTGAGACAGATTGAACATCGATACCTCGGGCAAGAACGTTTGTAGTGATAAGGACCTTGGCCTTTCCCTGTCGAAAATCCTCAAGTACTGTGTCTCGCTCCGCACCTTCAAAGGCTCCGTGAATGGCGGCGACTTTGTGTCCTTCCGCTGTCAATCGCTCGGCGATGTGACTGGCAGTATCTCTTCGCTGTAATTTCAATCAGTGTGACTATAATGGAAGTGTGTTGTTCATCAAATACCTTCACAAATATGATTGAGGAGCCAATTGTCATCAAACCATAGAGCTTGACCAAAATCTCATACTTTCCAACCTCATTTGGACAATCCATGAACATCTGCTTGATGCCGGACACAGTAAGTTCATCGCGCTTTAACTTGATCTCATTTGCACGGGGCGAAAACTGCTGAGCGAAACCGTAGACCTCATCGGGAAAAGTTGCAGAAAAGAGTAGAATCTGCTCAACTTTAATCATCCTAAAATGAATTAGGGCGCGATACTCAAACGGGAAGACATGGAACCTACGACTTAACTCGCAAGCACTGATCTCCGAGACCTTGCTGATCCAACATGTTGTCCGCCTCATCCAAGCATAGAACCTTCATTTGAGATGCGTCGATAGATTTTCTTTTGATCAAATCCATCACGGTACCAGGTGTTCCCACAATAACCATTGCATTTACTCTAGCATTTCGTTCCACCGCACCTGGAATGGCTGCCTGTACAGACAAGCCCTCGACGAATTGTCCAATACTTCTGACAACACCTTCGATTTGACGGGCAAGTTCACGACTTGGTGCCAGACATAAGGCTTGTGGTGTGGTTGGCTTTGAAAAGTCGAGACGAGATAGGATGGTGATGACGAACGCGGCAGTCTTTCCAGTGCCTGATTGTGATTGCGCGATCATATTTGTTGGTGGGTTGCCAAGTAAGAGTGGTAGAGCTTTTTCTTGAATCTTAGAAGGTTTTTTGAAATTCATCGCATAGAGACCCTTGAGAATCGAAGCGTCACTGGTAGAATTAATCAGCTTAGCTTCTGCAAAAGTGAAGCTGATACTTACATCCCCAACTGTTCGAATGTATCTACAGAGTATAAAGGACTGGTTTGATCGCCCTGAATGTCGCTGAGCTTAACCTCAACTTCATATTGACCGTCTTGGAGAGTACCACCTCCTAAAGGCTCGGTAGCTCCATCGACTTGTGCGTCCTCTAAAGAGCTCTCCTCATTTTTTTCAGTAGATGGTGATGCAACCTCATCCGCCCAAGATGTGCTCTTGGATTCAGACATTTTGGAGGAGTAAGATTAATGTTGAACGTGAAGATATAGAGAAAATGATGTTTCTTTCTTTTAGATAACGAGGCTCTGGAGGGGTAAACTATTTTGATTGTGTGATTGTTGCAAAGGATTGATTAGGATGAGACATTATTTAGACGATAAGAGCTAAACTAACTTATAACGATCTAGCGCGCCTGTGTGGTCTGCAATCTACACGTGATTTCATGTCAAACGACAAACAAGACAGCCTCACTTACCTAATTTCGCCGCTTTAGAAAACATTTGATCGCCGCCCTTTTGATGGCTCAGTCCAATGTAATCTGATCGGCCTGAATCTGAATCCACCATCCAACCTGCCCAGCCAACCCAACTAATAATAATAATTAGGTACTAATATAATAAATAACAATAACTCCGTAATTTTGGCGGGGCATTTATGCGTACGAGTTATTCATTACGGTTATTGTCCTGATGACATATGCCCAAGCCCAATACCGACCTTCATATTCTTTCATTCTTTACTTTCCTAATCTAATATGAATCTTTTCGCTCTCTCACGTTGCCCATGATCCAACAGATCCCCAGATTACTGACCTATAATTGCGGTATACATTATGGCGGAGGTTGATATTGCTCCCCAGTTTGGCCTTGAGCTGAAGGTTAGTGAACGGCGCATGCTCGCATGTTCTTTCTGACCATTGTCTTACCTGACTTTTGATATGTTCCTTTGTAGGATGGATTCAAAGCGACAAATACTTGGGTGTCCAATGGCATTGACTGGCTGGACGACATCCAAGCTTTCTATCGCGAAAGAAGTGTAATCGAGAAGGAATACAGCGCAAAACTCAATGCTTTAGCAAAGAAGTATTATGAGAAGAAGACAAAGAAGTCAAGCAATCTAAGTGTCGGTGATACACCTGCTATGACCCCTGGGTCACTCGAGAGGTTAGGGATATTCTTAACAGAACTAGTCGTGCAACTGTTAACTAACCTTATCGCATGTAGTGCGTCATTAACAACATGGACAACCCAACTTACCACTCTCGAATCTCGCGCGGCGGAACACGATCGTTTTGGGGGGGAATTGATTACGCAGGTTGCAGAGCCACTGAAAGTACTTGGAGGACGCTACGACGAGCTGAGGAAACGCCACGTGGAATATGCGGACAAATTGGAGAAGGAGAGAGATTCTACATATGCGGATCTGCGCAAAATGAAAGGAAAATACGATGCCGCATGTCAGGAAGTCGAGAACAAGCGGAAGAAAGCAGAGTCATCATTTGATTATTCAAAGACGAAAGCACAAAATGCATACCAACAACAGATTCTTGAAATGCACAACGTCAAAAATAGCTACTTAATCGCCATAAATGTCACCAATAAACAAAAAGAGAAATACTATCATGAGTATATCCCGGACCTTCTCGACAGCTTACAGGACCTGTTCGAATCGCGCACAGTTAAACTTAATGGTATATGGACACTAGCGGCGCAATTAGAGAAGGGAATGCTAGAACGTAGCACAGAGTTTACCAATCACTTACTGACAGAGATCCCAAGAAATCAACCTTCTCTAGATTGTATGATGTTTGTCAGACATAATGTGGGACCCTGGCAAGAGCCTCCAGACAAGCCATTTGAACCAAGTCCTGTATGGCACGACGACAATGCGATGATGGTGGGAGATACTGCAAAGGTTTTCCTACGGAACGTCCTTAGTAAATCTAAAAATCAACTTGGAGATTTAAGGAGAGAGGTGGATAAGAAGCGACGTGAGGTTGAAAGTATCAAACGTGTGAAGCAGCAAATTAGAGAGGGTAAGGACAAGCGGGACGAAGTCGAAGTTGTTAGGGCTATTTTTGCTTTGCAAGAAGAGCTACATCAAGTTGATCACAAGAGACTCACTGCGGAGGTTGAAACATCCACGATTACAGCGGCGGTCGGCGATGTCACGTTAGGCTCAAAGAGTCACAACTTCAAATCTCAAACTTTCAAAATACCCACTAATTGCGATTTATGTGGTGAACGTATATGGGGACTTTCAGCAAAGGGATTCGATTGTAGGGATTGTGGGTACACGTGTCACAGCAAATGTGAGATGAAGGTTCCAGCCGAATGTCCAGGAGAACAAACCAAAGATGAAAAGAAGAAACTAAAGGCAGAACGTCAAGAAGCTGCAAATGCCTTGAAAGCTCCAGGCACAGGCCTGGCAGATAGTGTTGCAGAGCTGCCAACTATGAGTCGATCCAATACTATGAATTCGTTAAGTTCGGGCTATGCTGCTAGTGCAAACAGATCTCTCTCAGCAAAATCGACAACTGAGGACACGCCTTCAGACACGACAGTTGATCGAAGACAGAGTGTAAGTTCGAGTCTCAAGCCGGGAATCCTAAAGAAAAACAGGGTTGTGGCTCCTCCACCAGCAGCGTATATTAGCGAATTGCCAGGAAGCGGTGTGATCAATGGATCGGCATCAAATGAACAGAAAGGAAAGATGCTATATGCCTATGACGCTAATGGTAGCGAAGAGGTCACTGTAGCCGAGGGCAGTGAAGTCATAATCCTCGAACCAGATGGTTAGTCACCCTACACTCCTATCTTTCAAAGAACCAACCTGCTGACTCAACCCAGACGGTGGCTGGACCAAAATCAAATACGGCTCTAAAGAAGGTCTAGTGCCAACCGCCTATCTCGAAATTCTTCCTCCGTCTTCCCACAATTCCACCAATAGACCCGTTTCGATAATCTCTACTTCCGGCTCCTCAATCTCTGCAAGCAAAAAGCAAGGCCCAGCCGTCGCACCTAAAAGGGGAGCGAAAAAATTGAAATATGTAGAAGCACTTTATGAATACACGGCGCAGAGTGAAGCGGAACATAGTATGGTGGAGGGTGAAAGGTTTGTGCTTATTAAGGAGGATCCTGGGGATGGATGGGCAGAGGTTGAGAAGGGGGGGCATGTGAAGAGCGTGCCGGCAAACTATGTACAGATTGTTTAGAAGGGTTGGGTCGAATTCATTATTTGATATCGGATGGGATGGGTTTTGATCGGTGTGAATTTGAATTTGAATTGCGGATTGCGGATTGCGGATTGCAGATTATGTCTCATGGGTAGAAGGGAGGATAGAGCAATTCTAATTGGGTTGTTGAATGACGCATAAGAGATGGGATGAGGATGTGTCTCAAAATCTGTAAATTCTTTACCTACCTAGCACCTAGTAACTACTACCTATGAAGAAAATACACCTACAACAGACACGAACCCCAACCTGAACTTTCCGTTGTCAAAGAGAAGGCAATAGTAACATGAGTCCCGATAAGTATCGACTGTCTCGTGTATGAGTGTAACAGTTTATATCACCATACGATAGATTTCGAAACAGCAAAGCAACAGAGTTTACATATCATCCATTAAGGATAGAAAAAAAACCTCCATTAAAATAGGGGATGATATAATAAGATGAGATGTGATGAGATAAGAAAAGGTGTATGTCGCCGCTTCATTGGGGAATTTCAAAAAGATGTGGAATAAATACTCTATATATCGTGTAATTATAAAACACAAAAGCGGAACTGGAATGTTTTTTTTTTCGATATGTAAGAGGGAAAGGGAAAGGCGGGAGGAGAGAAGAGGAGAGAAGAGGAGAGAATAGGGTGGATTATTTTACGCGAATTACCCCTTTGTTTGGAGAGTGGAGATTGGTGGTTTGGAGATGGTTGGTCTGTGATTTGGGGGGATGTTATGGGAATGTGTGGTTTGTTTGGAATTGGAGATGTTGAGGTGGTCTTGTTAGGTTAGAGTCACTTGTTAAAGGGGCTATGGGTCTGGAAGCGGGGATGAGAGGGGTTAAATGTGAGTGGGATATTGGACAGAATAGAAATCTTTGAGGTGAGACTAATATCGTCTGATTTTTTGTGATCAGATGACAGCTACAAAATTTGGCATGTGGGTGAAAATAGGATTACGACAAGGTGAACATGTTATTTGTATAGTCAATAGGCTTTTTCTCAAACTAATTCATTCCCTAGCGCTCTGATCCGTTGAAGCTATTTAAAAGGACATGAAGCCATTATCCTTCAGAATCAACTGAAACAGGAGAGCCCAAGGATCCAACCAGATGAATATCTATATGAAACCTTTAAAGCTTCCAGACAGACGTCGGAATGAAGAAAATAATCAGTGAATCAATCATCAGTCGAAGTTTCAGCTTTTCCTTCTGTCGAAGGCCCAGCTTGACTTTCCGCCTGTGGTGCATCCTGACTTGCATCCTGAAATATCTTTAAAATAAAGTTAATCAAGCAATAGGTAGTTGACGGATTTAACTCACCTTCAAAATAGCTTCTTCACCAGTACCCGGCCATTTCTCAAGGTCTTCCATACGCTTCTGTAAATCATCTACTGTCTTCTGAACATTTGCTTTCTCAAGTTCTTCGATGCGATTTTGTTGGTCCTGTACTATCTTCTTGAGCTCGGTGACTAGTGCTTCGAGTTTCTTTACTCGGTCCTCGGTATTGCTTCCGGTGGCAATGCCATCGATTGTGCGAAACTGGTTGGGATAGGGTAAGCTGGATGGTTCATGTGTAAATGGGGTATGTGAAGAGATATTTACGAACCATGGTTATTGATTCTACTGTTCTTGCTTTCTGTAAAATGCTTGGGCGAGTGTAAGGGAAAGTATGATAGAGGTAGGATGAGCAATTTTGGTGCACAGGCGAGTCAATTGCATATATAGCTGAATGGTAGCATGGAGATAGTGGGGTTATTCTCTCAAGTATACACAATCAGAATCAGAGTACGAGTAATATACACAAGACTTGGAAGCTATCCTTGAGCCTAGTAAGATATTGCCAAGATGTTTAGGCACGAGGAACACCAGAACTAGATCTGAAATCGAGTGATCATCAGACGCGAGAGTAGAACCTGATTGAATGGCAACTAAACAATATAAACATGCTCTCTGCATCAAGACAAGCCATATCTTTGTGGTGCTGAAAACACTATGTACATGCATGACTTCCCGGATGTGGGAACTGGGGTAACATGATATTTCGCCAGCACTCGGTACTACGTAGTGGCACGACGTCATTCATTCTCATGATCTGCATTGTTACCAATACAAGTGATTACACTGCACAAGTTGTGACTCTGAATAGATGATAATGATGCCCGAGTAGCTGAATTGATTAAAGTTTCAGCTCTGTCTTTGACGCCTGTGTATCCAATAGCTGTAGTCGGACTGGCAGGTTAGATGTGAATGCTTTCAATCTTCGAGAAAGTTATATACGTTTGAATACCCTGAATGCACCTAATAGTTCGTATGTTTCAAATATTTTGCATGTTCCAGGCAATTTGAACATTCTAAATGCTGTGTATATTCAAGGGATTTTGTATCTCAAAAGATCCTGATGTATAAATCGATCGAGAAGAGAACTTCAGGAATCTTTTGTTACCGGGCCACAGTCCGGATTATTAAAATCCCTGGTCTTTGCAATACCAATATCGGGCAATATTCGAAATATTCCAAGGAACCGGTTGGTATCTAACTCAATTTGTCTATTAGAATTCGTCTGAACACACCAACTTTCCAGACGAATATTTCAACTGAAACATGAACTTGGATACTTGGGCAGCATTCACGATTGTACTATATTAATCGGATGTCAAAAAATGCTGTGCCAAGTGAAAATGCAGTATCAGCGCAGACATTCCTGAGGAGAACACCTGTGAAACCTCACATAGCAGCTGATTCAAAATCCGCTACCAAAAAATGTTGCACCAAATAGAAGTAACAGTTTCAACCACAGCAGTGTGATATTGCCATTTGGTTTTAGGCACGAAAATGATAATATTTTTGTTACTCTGGCTGTGACCGAATTTGACACCACAGTCATATACGGACTTCTAATTGTGGTTTCTTATATTGTAAATATTTCCTGTCGAAGTTAATGTTATTACCTTCAAAATACAACTTACTTTCTTTTTACTTTTAGCTTCTTTTCATTCAATCCCTCTCCCAATTGAGAAAGCAAAATGGCAGCAGCTGCACGAGAAGGCCAAGCATGGTTCTTAAAATCTAGTCTCAAGAGCCCAGGTTACGATGGCTCAAAGCAGGAAGACTTTTATTCGTGGATGCTTCTCGAAGTCGTTTACAATGCCACTGAAGACGAGGCCAATGCCGTAGCTCCACGATTACGTTATCCAGGCCACCCAAGAACTGGGCAACAGGATTTCTTCGGCACCCCCTTTAGTGCCGGATACGGCCGCTATCAGTATATGACCGCCATGTACGGCCCCAGCGCCGAGGACATTAAACGCACATATCGTATCAGCAGCAATATTAGTCGCGGTCAACTATGGCGTCAGACAGGCTCTGCTGCTGTTTGCTACATTGCAGTTCCGTTGCCGACTGCGAAGGAACGTTTTATCTGGGTCGATCTGACATATCCTGTCAGAGCTTTTTACATCCCATGCGCATTTACTGCTCATCCCCAATACAAGGAACATGCCATTTTCTCTCGTCTCGATGTCCGCGGTCGTAAGGGTATGCCACCATCATATGTCATAAAAGGCCTTGCTGCCAGTGACATAGCGGCTGGCAAGAAAGTGGTCGACAGTTGGAATGAAACGTATCCCCATAACTGGAGGTGGAGGAAAGAAGCTGAAAAAATCGTTGAAGTCTATGATAAGCTAGTGAAACGAGTCAATGATCTAGAGGCCGGGCCTGATCGTGAAGGTCCGGCATTGCAGGAGCCTGGACTCACATCAGGTTATGTGAAACCTGATGGAAAAGCACCAAGTCAAGTGTACGCCAAGATTAACTATGCCAAAGACGCGGTGGGAGATGAGACAACCGGTTGGGGGATGCGGCCTCAGTGGACTGTTCGAATTGATATTTTTAAATTGGCGTGCCAACTCCTGATTCCGTACTCCCAGCGTACAGATGAGTATCGAAACGTTTATGCTTGCTTTACTCTATTTGAAAGGCGCGTTGTCCATGCATCAAAGATTACGGCGGATATTGACATGGCTCAAGCCATCGATCTCGCTCAAGCGCAATCAAAAGAGCTAGGAGTCAGATTGCAATACGAGAAGGATGAGCCGGACGATAAGTTTATCAAAGATCTGTTTGTGGGCTTTGTCGCTGTGGGTCTTGGTCTGATTCCCGTGATCGGGCCTCTAGTAGCGTTTGGCTGGAGTCTCGGCTACGAGATACTGTCAGATTCAGAAAAGTTCACCAAGGCTGCGGGAGTTGGCGGTAAGGCACCTGCTTTTACACAGGCTGTGGTTGACTCTCGCGAGACACTGTTACCTATGATAAAGAAAGGTGTCTCTAGTATGTTGAAGATGCATATGCAAGCAAGGGACAAGAGAAGCATTCGTGTCGATCCTAGCGAGGAGGATAATAATGCCGACGGGAGTTCCCAACAGCAGTCCGAGAAAGCCAATGATGGCGAGGAAAAGCCAGAGCATGATCCGGCCGTGGATGCTGATGAGCAACCACAGCAGCAACCTGAGAGCGGAGATAGTGACGAGAAGCCAGGTAATGACGGAGAAACGGAGCAGGAAGGAGATAAGGCCGGAGACGGGACCAACGCAAACGACAATGAAGGGGCACAGCAACAGCAACCCGAGAATGGTGGTGATGATGCTGACAAGCCAGATACAGACGAGAAGTCACAACCATCACCCGAAAGCGGAAATGAAGCCAGCGTAGATGAAGGGGAAAAAGCACAAGAACAACCTAGTAGTGGAGATGATGACAAAAAGCCAGACGATGATAAGAAACCGAATGGTGAGGAAAAGTCAGGTGGTGATGAACAGACAGATGGTGGTGAAAAGCCACAAGAACAAGAGCCCGATAGCGGAGGTGGTAGCGACGAGAGACCGAATGATGAAGAAAAGCCAGGCGCTGAAGATAAATCAGATAGTGGCGAGAAGCCAGAGAGCGATGAGAAACCAGACGCTGAAGAAAATACAGGCACTGAAGAGAAGCTCGACAGTGACGAGAAGCAAGAGAATGACGAGAAGCCAGAGAGTGACGAGAAAACAACTGACGACGAAAAATCAACACCTCAAGAACAGTTCGATAACGATGGAAAAGAAACCGACGAGTCTCAAACCAAAGCGACTGATCAGGACAGCAAAACAGGTGATGAAAACAAAAAGACTGATTCAAAGCCTACTGATGAAAAAGAAGAAACCGATTCATTCCGGTTTATTATTGAAGCTGGAGAGGCAGATGTGGTTGGTTGAAGTGGGGAGTTTTGGGATTTAGTCAAATAATTAGCTTTTGTGTCTGTATTTTAAGGAATGGAGCTTTTTGCTGAATTTTGATATGTTCATAATATGTGAGTAAGTTATGCCTGTAACTCGCTACCCCTGTTGAAATTCGAGCAAAACAAAAAAGACCAATGCAATAGAATATCAGTCTATAAAACTTCTACGGTTTTCAGCACAACATCTCCCTGTCTCCAAAACTTGTCATTATATAAGATGACTATGGAAAACAATATTAAAACTCGCACAAAATAGTGGAATCATGATGAAAACTCGTCGCCCTCCAAAACTTAGCCTCCACCGGAAGATGCCAAAAACAGTAAAAAAAAAAAAAAAAAGAAAAAAACATACAACAGTGGGGATTCGCTGGTGGTCACCCACCCAACTACTAATCCACCGATCTGAAGCTTGTGTATGGCAGAGCGGACGGGATGCCCAATTCTCTTCAGTCTATGGTCGTATGTGGCAGATTTTGATCAGTTTGAATGTATATTGGGATTGTGTGATGGAAATTCTGTTGATTGGCAGGGGGGATTTGCCGAATGTTGATATAGACGTATGGAATTCGTGAAATGCAAACTATTGACTTAAATATTTCTAATAAGATACCATGAATTTCGAATAAATTCGATCGATGAATAAAGCACTTTCCGAAAAATTGCAGTCAGCCGTTGTGGAAAAAATGAAAAGATAACATTGTGTAATTTGCTACGAGGATATTAGGCCAGAAGTCATTAGATATTGCGCTACTAACGCTGTAAGTAACTAGCAGGTTATAGGCTCTGATAATGTCCTGCGGGAATTCTTTGACGTATGAATAGAGGCAAGCAATCAAGTGATCTATTACTTTGAGATTGTAGGATGATAAACCCTTTTATGATTTTGCTCTTCTCAGCAGCATAATTAGACGAGGCTCTCAGTCACCAATACTACATGGCAATGAACATATTTTCCTCGCAGGTGGGTTAGTATGAAACGATTCCCCTGTAATGAATTTTGATGTGACATTTGCATTTATACCACGTTTGTTAACTAAAATTGTATTCCTCCTAGTGTGAATATACGTCAAGCAATTCCTATCACAAGTGAATATAGTTTGTCTGAATTGGAAAGTACAAGATATTTGCGCAAGATAGCCTATGTTTCTTGTAAGAGTAAAGAGACAAGTATATAATTTGAACCTGTAAGTGCGAAGAAACTTATAATGAACTATCAAGGCTAATCTAATGGCGGCAAGAGCAACTTCAGCCATTTCATAATCCAATGCTTGCACATAACCAGGCCTGCGGTAAATTTACCGTCCGAATATTCAATTGTAAGTGAATAATCTTTCAGATGCTTAGCAGGTACTGGGAGCACTTCAAGGCGCAAAGCAACAAAGAGAAACGAGGAAGAGGGTAATAAGATTTTTATCACTGGCAGTGCTAGTATTTTGAATGACTGAAACGCATGCAACCTCAACCCATTAAAATGGCTGGCTGTCTTTTGACAATAGTATACCACAGCAAAAGCACATGATAAATCTAAACAGCGGCTGCAACTACTCCTTTCCAGCTTTCTCTAGCTTGAAGTTCCTCCCACCACCTGTTCACGTGAGGATACTTTCCAAGTATGTCTTGGAGTCCCCATGTCAATGCCTGCGTACCATGTGGCAAATGGTACAAATCAGCCAAAGTGAGCTCATCTCCCGCGAGATACTTTTGTTTCGAGAGTATTTGGTCGTATGCAGCGATAGTCTTTTCGAGTCCCTGGAGATGTTGTTGAACAGCTTCCGGGCTGGTGGCGCCCAATCCTTTCACTCTGCCTTTGTCAGTATTCGTCTTCCCAGCATGAAATCGGACTATAAAAAGCTTACTGCTTGATGACATGTTCAAACCAGACACCAAAGCTACCAACATCGAAGTAAGACTGTTCCAATGAGCAAGCCTAGTAAGGTGTTAGTTCGCTTTGTTGAAGGTCAGGGGCATATCCACTATAAAAACCTACTTGTTCGAATAGCCCATAGGCTTTTAAATCTCCGTCGGCGGGAATAAGTTTCGTACCCTTATCAGCGTACTTTCGTGCAAGATATTTGCATATGGCTCTGCTCTCATAAATCAAAAAACCATCATCATCGAGCAAGGGGACCTTTCCGAAAGGGTGCTTCTCAAGCCACGAAGGCTGCTTCTGCTCTCCCTGGAAGATATTCACAGAGATGAGCTCGTAATCGATGTCTTTCTCAGCGAGTACAGTGAGTACTCGCTGAGTGCAAGTTGCTCGAGCCATACCATAGAGTTTGAGTACCATTTTGTGAGTTTCGATTGGTAATTCTGAAGAGATTGTCGTGTTGAGATACCGGAGGTGATGATGTTTGAATGCTTGTGGGAGTTTGAATTAACAATTACTTGCTCGAGCAGCATGCTTTTATATATACCCCATGGCTGTTGGCCTGAAGATTGTGCATAATTGGAATTATAATTCTTCAATTTTATGCATGCGCATGCTTACCACTCATCTCCCAATTCAATTATCTAATTGAACAAGTGAAGCGATTAATTTAACAAATCATTTGAGATTTAGGTTGATTTTGTTTGATAATCAAAGCGGTTTAATTCCATAAATGGGGGATAAACGACGGGATACTCCGCAAGGTGCGTGCATTTATAAGCCGGCGGTTGTTTTGGCGGCCGATGGTTGTTTGGGTGGCCGGCGGTTGTTTGGTGCTGCAGAATACAGTATTTTATGATTTGCAGAAAGTGCGAGTATGATCTAACTGTAGTTTCACAGTCTTGATTATACCACCTATCAAATTACGCTGTCTCAACTAGTCCTTGCTAACGAGGACAATTGAATCATGATTAGACATCCCAATAATACCAGTGAGAATAATGATCACGTGATATTTCACCAGCATTGACGCCAGTGCTACAAGGAACCGAATTACTATACACTTCGGTAATTTCATAGTTCTAGTTATTTAGGTAAGACCAACACGAATTTTAATGATAGATCTTGTTGAAGCTTTGCCTTCTACGTGTTTTCGAGTTAGAAAGCCAAAGTTAAACTGTGAGATTTGCAAAAAGGGACAAGAAGGCCACAGTCATTGGCGCTAGCAATCGAACACAGCTAGTAAATAGACTATGTAAAGACTACATGACGCTGAGGATGAATGGACTCTAGAGTATTGAGAAGATCGGGCGGGTCCAGCATGTCAAAAAAAGAGAAAATTACACTCAAAAATAAGTAGGCTGCGCAAAAATAGTCCGCAACCCGCGGATATCTATGGATAGTCCGCTCCGCGGATTATCCATAAAGCTTCGACCCGCCCTGTAGATAGTCCACAGAGCTTTATGGATAATCTGTGGGCGGATTATTTACGAATATCTATAGATTGTGGATTTTTGCAGATAATCTACAATTTATCCACAAATTATCCATCTACCTGTTTCATGGATTATACATTTGAGTTTTCCAATAATCCGCCTCGCGAGTAGATCATCCGCGGATTATCTACCAAAGCAATAATCCGCCCCGCGGGTCCCCGTTGCGCAGCCTTAAAATAAGAAAGAGATCGTTTGCAACTGCTTACATCAGGGACGAAAAGGAGGGCACCGAATGGAGCGACAGCCTCATATTTTTATTCTATGATAGAGCAGGAGGTACTAGTAACTAGGACAAACATCTGTTCGTTTTTAGTGATGAAAAAATAATTAATTCTGTCACGAAAGCGGATCAGACTATGGCAAGAAGAAGCAAGTGCTCTGTACGTTAGAGTTACGTATAAACAATCACATAAGTGATGGTGGTATCACATAAATCAAGATGAGCTAACTTGGATGTTGAAGGAGACTTCCAACGAAAGAATACGGTCATATTCATCGAACAGATTGTGGATTGGCTAGCTGGCCCAGACTTTTCCGTCAAGCAAAGAGAAAACTTTCGCTACAATGTCCTAACACGGGTTTATGGTTCTTACAATCGGGCGAGTTTAAAAATCCAAGACTATTCGATCACAGTCTCTTTTTGCCTAGGCGACCCTAGCGTGGGCAAGACCGTTATGTATGTTATCATCGATCATCTGAGTGAATTAGCCTATAGCTCAAACACGGTCGTCTTGACATAACCATACTTTGAATCGGCTCACAAAAAGTTCAGAATGCTGGGCGCCTCCTTGCGAGCTTATTAAAACAATTGTTTCGAGCTTGCTATAATCCTCCAGATGAAGTGTCCATGTTCAACAAGCCGAAACACTTTAGGGAGCCAAATCTGGAAGGTATCTTCGGGGCTATTCAGAGCATCGCGAGAATGTATCCAAAAGTCTTCATTGTTATTGACACCCTCGACGAGTGCAATAAACGCGAACGGAAGAAGCTTGTGGGGGAATTCTTCCAGCTTCACAAGGAGTCGGACGTTGCTACACTCACAACTTCAAGATTCGACTCGGAATTCAAGAACAGTTTAAAGATGCCTTGTAGCAAGGGATTCATGATAATAACAAGAAAATGGGAGTAGATATTGGTTTATACGTTGGTGAAATGACAGACCTCGTCGCCGCGTTCGTTCAAAGTGCAAAACAAACAAGCAAAAAATGCAGAAAAGAGAAGATTTTCGATGCTTCGGATAGGATGTTAGATTATCATTCTACCAAACTAAAGATTTTGGTTGATTTTTCACGGATTTCTACTTGCTCATCTATGCCTCGACTTGCTGGGAGATAGAAAGAAAGCGCGCGACACTGTCACAGCGTTGGGGGAGGCGGTGAAGACCTCATATTCCAAGACTTTGCAAAGAATCAATAATCGACAATCAGGTTTTCGCAAAGATACAAAGACTATCTTTACCTGGCTTACATTTGCTGAACCAAAATTACTAGTCGGGAGCTCAAAATGGCTCTTGCCATCTCAATTGGTTCTTCTGCTTTGGAAACACGCCAGGATAAACTATACACCGTCCAAGAAATCGTAACCATGGTCTTGGGCTTGTGACATGTGGAGGCGAGGGCGAAGACAACACGGTTCAGTTTGTCCATTGCGCAGCTGAAGGATTCTTAAGGACACACCCTTGCGCCATCAAAACTGATAAAGCAGCGCCACTCTATGCTGGAGGGAAACAAATGATTGCCGAGTCTGAAACAGAAGCCCATAAAAAAACTTGAGCCCCAACGAGTTTGAAGAAGGCCCATACCATACAACAGAGGAGTTGTTACAGAGGTTCAAAAACACGCCTTTACATCGGTACGCAGCAAGGAATTGGGCATGTCATGCTCGGAGACCGTCATTTAACATGAATCCAGAGACATTGCGTTACCTTCCAACGTTCTTTTAGAGCCTGCTGAATGTTGCGGTTGTGAGTCAAGGTCTGAGTAGTTGGAGCACATTCAATGCATATGTGCACAAAGACGCTTCACTTGCCGAGCCCCCATCAGTGACGCCTGGTCAGATAATAGAAACGAAGCTTTCTCCAGCAAGCAATAAATCTACTTCAGCACCCTGAAGCTGGCTTGAACCTATCCACTTATTTGGGCTTATCAACGTTGTTTCGGAATCGCTCGGGGCACGAGCTCAGTTTAATTTGATAACGACATTAACCTTCCACGTGATCCCGCACAGTTCACTTAACCTATCGCATCACGTAACCTTAACGGTCACGTCCAAGCCTGGAATAAACACACACTTAAAAAGTTGCTTGCGATCATCAACTTTCCAAACCTTTGACCTTTCCACCTTTATGTAGGTACTATAGGTACACAAATATCTATAACATTATCCTCTTTCTTCTATGTCCCTCTTCATTGATCAGGTTTTAAGCTTGTAACTTGACACCAGCAGAAAGCGTTCTGATTCGAGTTTCAATGGAATCCTCGATTGTGACTTCCTCAACCATGATGGATTCTACACCGTCAGAAAGTGTTTGTGTGTGAACGAAGTGAATGACTTCAATTCAATTACTACTGTAATAAAGAACTAAGCGAACGCGAAAGAGACTAGCTCTTTTAGTAAGTCTATATAAGACTTACTACTTTCAATATGTAGCTAGCTCTTTAGACAGAATACAATTAGACATACAGGACCTACGTAATCCGTGGGTGCTACGTCTTCCGTATCCTTCTCGTACCAACAGTTTGCGATATCTTGGACTTTCCAAACCTTACACACTTTCCACCTTAATACAAATGTAGATGATCAAAAATCTGTCATCGGTTTCCGGAACCTTATACCCGTTTCATCCTTCCATATACAAATCAAAAAACCTCTCTATTTCTTTCTCGTTGATGAGGTGGTAACATGGTTTGTTATCGAAGAGTAATAATATATCATTGACTTCCCAAACTTTTATACTCCTCATATCTTTACAGGCACAGATCAAGAGATTTCTCTGTCCTTCTCTTGCTTTGATAGCGTGGTAGGTAGACTTATTTATCATTCAAAAGTGTTGTGGGTTTCAACGATTCAATTGTAACTTACCGCTTCAGATTCTACACAGTTAAACAGTGTTTTCGATATCAACATACCACACAAATTTTTACACCTCTTCGCCTGTACAACGTTATACACATGAGACTTCAATCAAAATTTCTTCCCTGTTCTCGAAGAATCTCTAAGCTTGCACGATTTCTTGAATTCGGCAATTTTCCAAACCTCCACAGGCGGCTCAGTTCTGGCATTTGAACTGTTCCATTCTCTTTATTTGACCAACTACTCTCCTCCCTGCTGTGTCCACATCTATTTAATTGAGCTTCTCTATCCGAACCAAACACTCTCTCTTCATGACAGAATCAAACCTTTATACCGGCAAGTCCATCACGGAGACGTTACCTACGGAACTTCTTGCTACGATCTGCGAGTACCTTGCTCGAAAAGACCTGATTTGTTTTCGATTTGCAAGCAAATCATGCGTATATGTTGCGTCAAAATGTCTTTTTCGCGATCTGCATGTCATGTTTACAAGGAAGAGCTTCGAAAACCTGTTGAATGTATCAATACGGCCAGATCTTTCGAAGTACTTCCGAAGCTTATGTTACGAGCCGTGCACGCTATTGGATATCGACGTATCTATTTTGAAAAATCCAGTAGATTTACTCCTGCAACAGGAGATGATGCTACAAGACAAGAGGCTTTTGAAGCAAAGTGGAAGGCATACCGGCGTATCATTGACAGCGAGTCATTGATGAAGGCCACTTACTATGACTACTTTGCTTTTTACCAAGCCCTGCAAAAGTTTCAAAATCTCAAATGTATCAATGTGAGAAGTGATGGACCTGGTTCTCATCCAGCTTTTCATGAACGCTTTTCAACCAAAGACATTTATTCCGAACTATACACTGGTGCAGATCAACCAGGGGACATTAGGGGTTGAGCTTTACAAGGAATGATTCTTGCTGTTGGCAAGGCAGGCATAAAATTAACCAGTCTCACTGCTACAGTTATCCCCGTGCACTTTTTCTTTCCGGTCTTTTACTCTTCCCCCTATCTTATTATTCAAGTAACTCAGCATCTCAAGCACATGGACATAGCACTTTGCCCTCACTTCTGGAAGCAACATTCCCCTCCTGTCATTTCAGGCATGCGGAACTTTTTAAGTTCCGCCGTGAATCTTGAGAAACTCCGAGTCGCCCTGGATTCATTTTATTTCTACACATATACTGTTCCCACAATGAATTAGGATTGCATAGTTGGATCGTTAAAACTGCCAAAATTGAAATCCTTCGAGCTCTGTAACATATCAGGTACCCACGAACACCTCTCAATTTTTCAAGGATCACACATCAACGCTTCAGCATTTATACTTAGGTGACTTGACACTGCAGGGAGACATGTCTGGATGGGACAATGTCTTTACTACACTACAGTATCTATCTCTCCGCACCTGCCAGCTCAGAGGTTGTTTGGGCGGAAAATATGAAGATACGAAGTACAAAATCTTTGCCGTCATGTCGAGCAATAGATATGATATCTGCTTACAGCGCTATTCAGAACTATCTTTGCTGCTAGATTATTACAGCAAAGACGGGCTTGAACCACCATGTCTGAGTACGTTGCTAGAAGTTCTCATCAAAGATCCTCGTCAACATTCAGGACTCTCAACGCTTACAGTTAGTAGGCTTTGGGAGATCATGATCTATCAGGTGAAATTCCGTTACGATTATCCTTCGGATAGTGATTATACCGTTTCTACTCCTGATCCTTCTACAGAATTTGATGATGATGATGTTACCGGATAGTTCAACCTCAATAAGAACGATACTGATGACAATGTGGGAGATTTCGAGCATAACGAAGATCAAAACGGAGCCTAAGTGGAAGCGATATGATGAGTCTGATTTCGATTCTATTTGGACAGGCACAGATGGATATGATTCTGCTTGGTTCTATGTTATCAGTGGGCAGCACAGAAAAATCTTGATCTCCAGCTTATGACAAATTTCACGGTATTGATGCGGAGGAGAACATTCAAGTTTGTCGCGGAAGATAGCTAGCTCTGGTCTAAATCTTTGCTGCTGCATTTTCGTCATTCAAGACACCGGACTTGCTCGCTTCTCATTCTCTCATGCTATTACATTACTAAGGAAGTGTCAATACGGATTAGAATGGATGGTATCGATGTCTATTAATGTCTTTTAACGGCAGACTAAAGTTAAAATGTATCAAATAATCAATCAATGAACAAAATAAACTTCACATCTGCTCTCCTAGTAGAACGTTATGTGTTACTAGTCGCGTATGTCATTATTCCTTTGAAAAAGAAAACCGGTATTCAACACTTTTTTCAACCTCAATGCGCGATTGAAGACTTCTCTTTACCCCTTATCCTGTCTCTACACGTATACCTTCACTTCCAAGCTTGTATGCCTAGTCCTCCCCAATCACCCTCCCATCCCATTCCATCTCTCCTCTATTGTTTAATTCATTAATAAGTCAAAATAATAAGTTAATAAATTAATAAATCTCCTATCATCCTAGAAACCCAACTGAACACCGAAACCAAAATCCCAATCATAAACTTTATAATCTAGCAAAATGTAGTACTTCTTTAAAGGATATATAGGCTTGGTTATTTACTTTATATATAGTGGGTATACGACTCTCTTTTCATCTCTGGTCTTATGTTGTATTTATATATCTACATCGCATTCATATATATCCAGATATCATTGCATCTACATTCTTTCCCTCCTTTCCCTCCTTTCCTTCTCTCTCTATATATATCCGCCACCCCTCTCTAATCTCTCTATAAGTCAATCTCCACACTCCACCTCCAAAATCTCACACCAACATTCTTCCTCATCTCATCTCATCTCTTCCCTTATTCCTCCCATTTCTCCTACACCCTACTCCCTCCTTTCCGTCCTTTCCTACTTCGAAAACTCAAAAAACTCCAATTCTTACTATCCTCACTATCCTCACTAGGTACTTTCACAATACGATCGATATTCAAAAGATCACTTAACTAATTATACCTAGATACACTTATTTCCTAGTGTCTACTTTCTCATCGTTATGTACCTTTCTCTATTCTTTTTTTCTCTTCATTAGTTCTATTTACAAAATAATTAAAAGTTATAATGTTTTTTTTTACCTTCTTCGCCTCTTCGTCGTTTCCTTTTATTTCTCTTTTCACCTCTCTCCTCACCTCTCTCCTCACCTCTCTCCTCACCTCTCTCCTCACCTCTCTCCTCACCTCTCTCGCCATCGTCTCCCTCCACCCCTCCGCCTTTCTCCGTTTCTCCACCTACCCCTCCCCTCGAGCATGCTCGGCTCATCTCTTCCTTCCTACTTCTTCC